CACTATTTACATAATGTGGGTCTGCCACTAAGTTATAAATACAGGTTCTAGTTGCATAACAAATATAACCAATACTTAACCAAAATAAAAACTGCGGTTTAAATTACATGTTATCCTCTGCCAAATGGTTCTCCCTCCCGGGATATATCCTATTGTAAATTTAAATTCCTGTAAAAGTAAGTCTAGCGTTGGTTATAGCAGAGTCACTTCCGGTGTTTGCCAGTGCTCGGGTTGTTAAAATTCTGAACCAACGAAAGAGACTTACTGCGTCCACCCAGACTTATGAGTGCTGGGTTTGGCAGTCAGTACTCCTGAGCACTGGGATGCTCTGCTACTACCAAACCTTTCGGTCATATGGCAGAGTCCTCCCTTTGGTAGGGAGGGCGGGCTTTAATTACAGTCTGCCCCAGAGCTTTCATTGATAAACGGGTCTGGTGTACCATGGAGGCTCCCCTTGGAGTTCTTGAACCCCTGATACTGGGTGCACTACATTCCACCGGCTGGGGAAGTATTAAATTTACCATTGACCATCATTTTTCCGAATGCACCACAAATCTTATCCTTCTATTTCATTTTACAAGAGATGTGGAGTTTTTTCTTTTATTTTCCTTGTCCCGTTAGTAGTTAGAGGCGGGGCTGGTCTACCCATAATTGCCACCGTTAAATTTAAGAGCCTCACTTCTTGTTTTTGACGTTTTCCCTTTTTCAATGCGTTTGACTTTCTTTTGCCTGTTTTGCCATCTCGCGGTATGTTACTGCTTTAGTCCAAGTTTCACACCAGGATTTCCTTTCACTGGCTGTAACTTCATTAACCACTTTATTTCTCTAAGAGCTGTATATTTTGCTAAGTGTTTTGCCACGTATTTTAAATGTGTTTGGGTGGATATGATGTAGACGGATTTGTTTCGTGGGCTAGTTTCTGATTGGTCGTTGCTTTCATTGGGCTTTCTCTCTGATTGGTTGCTACTTTCATGGTCCATAGCGGACCTTGAATCCTTTAAAATAGTGTAAGACTCCTTGAATTGAGAAAAAAAAACCCTCAGGGCATTGAGTTTCACCTACAATTGGTAAAAACCATACCTTTTTATAGGTAAACCTTGAAAACGGTGGTTAAATCAAATTTTTTTTTAATGCAATTCAGATGGATCTAATATTTTTCTGGCTTTTATTTTTTGTCGCAGCAAGTCTGCGTGAAGCCTTCTGTTCCCAACCCTCTCCTTTGCCGTGCCGCGTTATGTAACCTCAACGTGACCCTATTACAGTTTTGCATAGGCTCGACTTAACCTAGATTCTAGATCGTAAATGAGAGCTGAGGGCTGAATTTAGCATCTTGTTTTTCAGGTATCCCCGTTTATGACAGTAGTCACTTGATTCTAGATCTAAAGATCAAAATCTAGATCTGCTTCCTTTTAATGAGTGCATAAAAAAATTTAAAACTTAGTCGCAAGTTCAATAATCAAATTAAAATCTATATCAATCTACTTAACAAAAAGACAGCGCCGGTACTTTGCTACCGAATGAAGCTTTCCCGGATGTCCTGGAGAATACGAATGACCAGGTCCATAGCCCGATGGCCTGGGCGAAATCCAAATTGGTGGGGATGAAGAAGAGGTTGAATGATGCGATGGATTGGCCAAGGCTCGTAGAGAAGACATTGAGTCAGTGTGCAGGTAAACAGAGGTGTAGGGCCCGCAGAAGAGCAAGCCAAATAGCGGTCAGCTCAGCAGTAAAAATGCTGCCGTAAACGGGGCCACACAACTCTGTGCTGTCGAACCCATCAAAATATATGCCGTAACCACTCCTGGTGGATCTCTCAGGGGTAGACCCATCAGTATTAATACATAATGCGTCCACAGTGTATGAATCTAACAAATCGAGAAATGAAGCCAATTGGTCCTCTTTGGTGCGAGGGGACCCAGGTAAAGCAAACCAAACTGCTGGTATGTCTGGCATAATGTAAGGAGGGTATGCAGCATGCTGCTGTATTAATCTCGAAAAAGGAAAAGGTGAGGGGAACAATGACAGTAAATATTCAGCTTGTTCAACCCACGTCCGGCGTAACAATCGACCAAGCAAATGCTCTTTCGCCCGCCACCTATCCACCATCTGTTGCATTGGGTTGGTGGGGGGCAGGCGGCGAAACCTTTCATAACTCGCTGTCATGGCACGACGGAGCGATAGGTCTAGAGTTTCGATCGATGCCATGATAGAACATACCAGGTCCATGGTGTTCCGGTCGAGCCCAGCCACAAAACGTACCGCCCGGTGATGACGGGTGTACACTTCCTTCAGAGCATCGTTGGATGCCAAAAGCAGGACAGGGGCCGAGTAGTCCAATACGGACTTTACCACTGTCAGGTATATGGATCGGAGAACCTTCGAAGAAACCCCCCAGTCCAAGGTGGCAAGGCGGACCAACCTACTATTGTAGGCCTGGTCAAAACTGTGACAGATGGCATTAATGTGCCTCTTCAGAAGGAGCTTCTGATCCAAAGTGACCCCTAGGCAAAACAGGGTGAGCCTCATGAGACAGGGTGTCCGGATCAAGAAGCAAATTCAATCTGTCCAACTGACCAGTGAAAAGAGACAGTACACGGACTTCGAGGGATTCATCCGCTACTGTCAGGTCCGACAGAAGTCCTGAATGGTGTCCAAGTCCGTCTGCAATGACTGCTGGATCTCCACAAGTGAGGCTGAAGTGTGGTGCAGTTTCAGATCATCCGCGTACATAAACGGAGAGCTGTGCAGCAGTGGCAGCAAGTCATTAACATAGGCAATGAACAGCAAACAGGACAACGAAGAACCTTGGGGAACACCCTGCCCAACAGGTTAGAAGTTGGAATAAGTGAATTCACCTTGGTCCGGACACGTCTGTCAATAAGGAAATCCCTTAGCCAGTGATATATTCAACGAGCGACCCCCAGTCTCTGCAATTTCAGAAGTAAAAGTGAAGGGTTGACCCGGTCGTAGGCCTTCTCGCATTCAAAGAAGACAGCGCCTGTACTTTGCTTCTGGATGAAGCCTTCCTGGATATCCTGGAGAAGTCTAACGACCAGGTCCATAGCCCGATGTCCAGGGCGAAATCCGAACTGGTGTGGATGGAGAAGTTCGCAAGTCTTGAAAAAGTAGGACAGTCTGGCGTAAACCATCCGCTCAACCACCATACCAAGACAAGAGGTAAGAGAGATAGGATGGAAAGATTTAAGATTAGAAGGGTTCTGCCCCTTTTTCAGCAGTAGGTGGAGGGTAGCTCTCTTCCAGAGTTTAGGCACCCTACCAAGCTCGAGAGCGGTTAGCTAAGTCCAGAAAGTGACTTAAGGCAACAAGAGGAAATTTCCGGATCATTTTGTAAGAAACAAGGTCCTCCCTGGGAGCCTTCCCATTTCGGACCTTGGAGATAGCAGTTTGAAGTTCAAAAAGAATAAAAGGTACAGAGAAAGTGGGTGTCTCTGGTAAGGTGGCCTCGCGGGAAACACGCTCATGATGCAGAGCAGCACTGTCCAAATATAAGCATGTCCTGCGAGCATTTCTAGCAAAAACTAATAATTTTGGTGTTCTTACAAAATTCTCAAAGTCAGGAGATTTTCTGAAAGAGTCCAGTATAATCCTTTTTGCAGTGTCTTTGGGGCCAAATGACACTCCTCCAGCTTTCTTACAACACTGGCTTGACCATGTGACTGAAGCAATAGATCTCTATTTTCCAAATGTTCACAAGAAATTTTGCTAAAAAACTATCCAGCCTATCATGTTCTCTAATAGATTAAGACAACCATTTAGAGTACATGTATCTTAGCAGGGCTGCCTACTTGTACACTTTTGCCCGTAACTTTATGATTTTAACACCCAGGTTACGACCTTAGAAATGGCAGTCCTCAAAGAGAGTGAGAGGCATGGAGAAGGTAGGTGAATCAGTCAGAAGCCTCATTGGCCACACGCTCATGGTGAAGCGCTACTAGCCGCTCCAACCCCAGCGAACCATAGAAACGATTTAGTGCCTTAGCACGTTGGAATTCCAAATAAATCATCCCATGGTAAGGGGTCGGCGTGGTCGAGTCGGTAAAGCTCATGGTTGCTAAACCGAAAAGTCTCGAGTTCGAACCCTCTGGCAGATGAGGCTCGTTAGCTGGGGACAGCCACTCTTCTAGGAGAGACAACTCCAAAAATGAAACAACTGCTGCCTTGTAGTTTGTTCTTGGTTGGACAAAGGCTATGGAAGCAAATCCAAAAAGAAAAGCAGGCTGAAATCGGAGTCAATGGCCTCAATGGCGCATAACCAGTTGACACGTAACGCTTAATTGTGTTGGAGGCGTGGTCGAGTCGGCAAAAAGTTCATGGTTGATAAATTCGAAAAATCTCGAGTTCAAACCCACTGGCAGATAAATCTCGATCCCCTTCAACACTAATAATTAAGAACGAAGAAGAAGAAGAAGAAATCCCATGGTAAGTTTGCAATGGAGCGTTCAGTCCTACCAAGTCTCCGAAACATAGAGAACATGATCACACTCGCTCAGCTTATTTTAGTTTCTACTTGTAGCTGCCGAATCTGGGAATGTTGTAACGCTCCCATCTCTTGAGCACTTACTTATCAGATGGGTCCTCTAGACATTTCAAAGTGTAGGTTAATGTTCATGAAGTTAGCATTTTCTTCTGGGTCTGGTCTGCTCTGCTCAGGGTCACTTCAAAGTATTCTGCCCATCTTTTCAGTTGCTTTTTCTCTATTGTGAGAGTTCTCCCATTTTTGTCCTTGATAGTGGATGATTTGCTATTCTGCCTGTAAGGGTCCTGATGATCTTGTAGACTGTTCTATTTCCCCTATTGCTTCAGCCTCTGCTGTGGCCATGTTGTCTACATAAACTCTCTTGTCTTTCCTATCATTTTTTTCTTAAGCAGTCCCCTGGTAAAATTCTAAATCCACACTATGCTCCCAACATAATTACAGGTAAAAAATTATTTCCCCCTTTTTTTTGAGGATTTATGTTTTGAAAGTTATAAAAGTTTCATTCATGTACCTGTTTTCAAACAATTTTTTAAAAACCAGCTAGAATGGCAGCCTGTCCTAGGCGTCTGTCAAGTGGTATTGGTGTACGTGGAAGAACTGATATTCCCAAAGATAACCGGCCACTTGATGACAAGAGGTACCAAAACAAGTGCATTGGACAGTTATTACAGGTATCCTTTTTTTTTTCAAATTGCAGAAAATGGCTCTTAAAAAGGCAGTGCTACACATTATTTCTTGCATATATGATATATTCCCTGAGGAAGTATCACATAGATAGTTTTTGTTTTCCTGAGGTTAGGAGGCAATGATTAGGAAAAAGTGAAAGTAGCCTTTCAAACATGTTTCAGTGACCTCATACATATGAAGGGATAGGTGGTCAGCACTATGACCACCTTAACATAGGTCAGTTACCTATCAGAACTAGGTGTGCTCTGGGGTGTCATATGGACTCAAAGCCCAGATCTGAACTTAAGAGCAAACGAATGCTCTACCATTCAACCACACATTATTTTATAATTAAAACATTTGTTTATATCGGCAGTCAATCAAATCAGTTGATAGCATATGGACTGTTCTTTTCATTATTTACTGGAGGTTATTGTAATATAAAAGTCAATGTTTTTTTTTTTATGATTCTGATTTTCTCTTGAACAAAAATAGTTGTCTAATACTAAACTTGCACCTGTTTAATGAATGACACTACTAATATAACTTCAAATTTCAGTTCCTACATGAACATCAGTATCCATATCCTGTATCTAACAAGCTTCTAGCATCTCCAAGTTGGAAGGATTTTTATCAAATATTTGAGGTTGGATCATTTTTCTAAATTAGTATATAAACTGCAATTAACAAAAAGATTTTAATGCTATTAGTTCATTAAGTTATTCTAATGCTACTGCAGACATGCCTATTGTCCTGCCATTTTGGAATCTTCTATGTGTAAAATGCCATATCACATTTTGTTTAGTTAATAAAACAAAACTGCAAAAATTATAAATTTAAAAATTAAACTTCAAATGTGGAAATTTTGATATCTAGGGCATGGTTTTATTTACCTTGTCCACTTATTTCATGTAAACATTTTTTTTTTAAACTATCATCTGTTGAGATTACGGATAATAAAACCATAATAAAACAGTACTCTGGTTTAATCTTAAAAATTTCCATTTATTAAATAAGGTAAGAGCATTATTTACAATAAATTAAAAGTACAGTATGAGGGAATTATGTTTGAACTAATGTTAAATTTGAAAAAAAAAATAATGCTGACTAGGTACATTATAAACTACAAGCTGACACACAGCGGTTTGCTTTATTTTCTACTCTTCAGTAATTCATTATTTCGATTATCCTCGCCCTCCCTCCCCACTCCCGCGAACTTCGTGAAAGCAGCAGTCCGTGACGACAGTTTACAGACAACAATGAATAGTTAATGCAGAAATTATTACCTCCCTTTTTAAAATCTAAATTAGCTGCCGACCCGGCTCTACGATTAACATTCGTAGTGAACCACAGCTCACCTGACAGGTGGGGATGAGGGTGGTGGCTAAGCTGTGTGGTGTCTTCTATGGTCTCCATGAAGATAATTATATATATATAGATACTAGCTGCATACCTGTGAATCCTTTTAAATGGGAACTTGGGAACAGAACAAAACTTAACGCAAAAACACAATGCAACCACACATAAACTCAAAAGAGAACAAACACAATGCAAACGCTAAGAACCACAGACGTAACACGTGGGGGGCAATAAATTGCACCATATCAGGGCACCTGCAGAAATGCCTGATTTAACTTTTTAAATTACTATAAACCAACGTATTGATAAAATAAACAAAAGGCAGTATGTTGGGTTCTTCAGTGTAAGTCTAGGGGTATATTATAGCAACTGACAACATACACCACAGTAAATTCACTGGATAACAATACTAAGCAATAATAATAACTTTAATATATATATATATATATAAGAATAAATAATATGAAAACAATAAAAGATACTAAATGCTTTAACACAGATGCTGATACTTAACATGACCCCAGTCACAGCCACACTTGTCACATGAACACCTCTCTCGCTCCATGTAAACACACTCAACCAAGGGATACAACTATACATCAAAGGGAGGGTACCTGTCGTTCCAGCACACAACACACACACAAAGCAGGGGACATGTAAGGGACGTAACACAGTATTTAAAATAACCATGTTCTACTACCTCGGTGCACTTTATCAATCCATGCTAATAATAATATTCCAACGTCTTCTTTGACATCCGGGGATTTGAATTCATTTTTACTTTCTGGTATATACGACGTATAGTCTTGTAATCGTGCAAAAAAGTCAAGATTTTTTCAAATTTTGACATTAACACCTCCATGAGTCGTAAAAACTTAGTTTTGCAATCTTGTCTGTGTGTCTAAACACGATAACTTGAGTACCGTTACAGCTAGGTTGATGAAATTTCATATATAAGTATTTTATCAAAATCGTAGATCTGTATCCACTTTTGAGCAATTTTTTTTTTCCTATAACCAGAAGTGGAACTATTTCTACTTTGAATTTTTCAACAGCCTATAACTTGAGTACTATTTCAGATAGATAAATGAAACTTCTCACGTAAGTTCGAATTCTCTACCTTCTATAAAATTTTGAGTAATTCCCGTTGGCCGAAAGTAATAATTTACACTATTTCTGATTTCTCTAAAAAAAAAAACGCATGTGAATTTATAAAGTACTAATAATATTCCGCACTGTTATGCACATTTTATTTGGCGTTCACTTGGTGTGCAATTTTTTTATAATTTTTTTTACAAGATTCTATTGTCCCAAGTTGCCATCCCCGTAGTGTTATATAAGAATATATTTGGGAAATTTTAGGTGAGATCACTCCCGGTTTATTTTTATTAGTGTGAGTTGAATTTCTTTTTATTTTTCCTCCCCTGGCATAATTATTAAATATTTTGATTAAGTTTTTTCAACCCTATTGTTATTTAAATGTATCAAATTTTTCTAAGAATCTAAACAAAAATATTATCTTTAATGTTTTAGAAATGTGTGTATTTAATATTTTCTATACATTATTCGAAAGAGTAAAAACTGCCAACTTTAAAAAAAATGTAAGTCATTATACAAATTAACCACACCCAACTATTTATAAGACAATTTGATGCAAGTATAAAGCACTGCTGTTGTTCACTGTTATGGTGCCAGAATCTATAGCTCTTACTGACAGACTGACTGACTGACACACTACAGCTGTATATGATAAGATTGTATTTGTCGGAGTTTTATAATTGACCTTGTTTAATATAATTTTCAGTTTGGCACACTTGTTTTAATAATTGTTTTAACTTCCTCTTTTTTTAATGCCTATCGATTTAGGGGTATGCATGTTGGTAATTAATAAATGAACATTCTACATTTTTGTATATAGAAATAATTATTTTACCTTGTTTTCTAGCTCACTGTTTATAATCTTTATGTCTGAATCCCAGAGAAAAAAAATACAGTGACTAAATAATTTTAAAGTTCTATATTGTTGGTTTTAAATATTTTATTAAATTGTTTGCCTTATTTCAGTTTATATGCAGCAAATTAAATGATGGCTACATAATTTCTTCAAAACAAGAAGTGCCTAGTGTTTTGAGACAGCTTGGGTACCCCTACACAATATCAAAATCATTTATGTTATCTGTTGGTACACCTCACACTTGGCCCCAGTTGTTGGCTGCACTCATTTGGATGATTGACTTATTGAAGGTATGTTGTTATTACAGTAGTGCAAAATATATTGTCCTCTGTATCAAATATAATTAAACAACTTAACATTTTCATTTAGCCTGCAGAAAATCTACACCAAATCAAAACATTTATGTTTAATATACGACATGAGATCTCTGGACTAAAGAAACTTGGACATTACATAACAAATGTAACAAGTGTAGACATCTCTCTTTCTCCAGTAAAAATCACATGACAAGACAAAATAATTTTGACAAACTTGAGAAAAGTTAGCAGTATTATGTACATTAGTTTTGAGGTTTGGTAATTTATAATTACTTTTTTAATTATAATAATAATCTTCTATACAGAGATAACTCCATTATTTTCTTTCAACTTTTTTCCAAAATATTGAAAAACTCCTGATAAAGTACCATCTGCCTAAAAAAATTGATGTAAATGACTATAGCTAGATAATAGCTAGATAAAAGACACGTTTGACAAACTAATTTGTCAAACGAGTGTGTCTGAAAACAGTATCATTTAAAGAAACAACCAATTTTACTATTTGTGGGCAGAGCCGTGCATGTCAAAAACAATTATTTGAAAGACTGACATTTAAGTTTTTAGTCCCATATAGGATGTTGCCATACTTAATTGTAAAAAGTTATTGACTCTATAAACTTCAAAATAGCATTTTAAGGCTATTTTTATATTTTGTGGGCTAATAAACTGAAAACATTGTTTACTAAAACACAAGTTTAGCAGCGCCAGAATTTGAAATGTTGTGCAGTTTTAATGAATGCATCATATTGAAATATTTCTTTTTAAAACTTGGTATGTTTTTAAATAAAATCTGAAAAAGTTCCAATTTAAATTAATATACTTTATTTTTTTATTAAAACTAATTTTTATTCATGTTATTATCGTTTATCCTTTATAAACCTCCGAGATTTGTGTCCAGGTATTTAAGGGAGCGGAGCTATGATTTATAGCCAAACATTGTCAAACGTAATGCTCAACTGAACACTTAACTACAGATCTTAGGCACCACTAAAAACTTGAATCATTTTTTTTATTTGCAATAATTATAAAGATGAAAGAAAATATTCCTGCAAATGGAGACCTTGATTCCTATATTTTTGGAGTGACTGGTGAAGATTTTGATAGGAATTTAGAGGTCAAGGTAAATTGCTTTCTTCTCAAGAAATACAAAATTACAGAGTAGACATTTTATCTTGCTAAATTTTAGCACCTTAATTTTTTTCTTCCTGTATGATATATATATTTTTAAAAAACATTTATGTATAAGAATATTAAAATAATGAATATTCTATTACATTTGTTGGTATAACAGCTAGCTTTTGACTACTGTAAAAAAACTTATTTAGCCTACATGTCTGGGGCTGACAGCTATGAAAGCTTTGATGAAGAGCTCAAGCAAATGCTAGGTACAACTATTACTACTTTAGCTTTTTCTTTAAAAGCATTAACTTATTTTGCTGTTCCAACAACACCACATTTTACAGCCTGAAATTATACTATTAATTCCTTGATAAACTCATTCAAAGCAACTTCCCCAAAAACCTTGAATTATATTTTTCAAACCTTTATACAAAGTTTTTATTTTACCCATCATTTTAAACAGTGGTATAACAAAGCTTGAGAGGAAATTTGTGGATTGTAAATAACATAAAAGAATATGTTATAGCTACTCAAGTGTAAAAGTATGCCTATATTGTTGTAACACTAACATAGATGTTTGGAAATACTTCTATGCATTAACTACTTAACTCAGACAGTTAAACTCTATGATATTAAAAAATAAATAAATACTTATCCTATTTGATAAATCTGTATTGGGACAGTGCTGTGGATGTAAAGATAAAACTTAATATCTCCTATTGTTTTAAAATGAAGAGGTCATTTGTTCTGGGTTTAAAAAGATGGAACACCAGTGGCATCAATTGTTGCTGTCCAAACTCAGCTGAGATCAATATGATCAACAGCAATGACAATCAAATATTTTAAGTTAGGGAAATCAATGGATAGAATTTGACCCTCACATCACTAAAACAGCTTATGCTTACTATGACTGAAAAAAAAATTGTAGAAAAGAAGACTGTTGTAAAATGTTGACAAAAATAAGTGCTACTACACCTCCTTAGCACTTGTCTCACAGTCTACCTATGTCCTCCGGGTTTCTTTTGTAGTTTTATGCATTTCTTAAAGTTATGAAGAAATTGAACTTTTTCAGTTAACTAGCCTATTAAGGAATGAATTAAGTTAATCATCCTTCTTACTACTTTATATCTGTTTATATCTTTTTTTATTCTTTTGACAGTTGCAATGTATTTTGGTGGCAATTACCAAGAGAACATTCATGAAAATATTACTATTGAACAAGAATTAACTATTTTGGAGCAAGCAGAGGTGACAATCTTAATTATAAATCTGTTGAATTAACAATTTTAGAATACAATATTGAGAAGTATTCCTTTAGTGTGTATGAGATAGATATAGAACATATTTCAATGCCAAAACAGTATGATTACAACTTGCATCACTCTTTATCCATGTTTATTTAACACTCTGTAAAGCTGTTTACTGATATCTTTTTAATTGCTGGTAGTTAAAGGCACTTGTATGGAATATTGATTTTTAAAGCTAACTGTATTGTAGGAAAGATGTTCCAAGATTAAAGATCACATTGGAATGCTGAATCATGATATAAATGTGTTACAAGCTTATATAGAAGATATGCGTAGATACAGAAAAGCTCAAGAAATTGAAGTGCAAACCAAAAGTGAAGAATGTTATATGTTGAGTAAGTTTTTAGATCTGATGCTTCGTTGTTTTTTTTCTAAATACAGGTTAAAGTAAAATAACAATTCATAAAGAAAATAACCTGATTTTTATAGAGTTGGATCTGCAAGCAGAAATGGATAGATTAATTAGATTGTCTCAAATGCTGGAAATCCACAAAAGTCAAGATCTGAGCCTATCTGATATAGAGAGACTGAAAGCAGAGCGAGAAGGACTCAAACAACAGGTGGAGCAGCTGGAAAAACAAATCGCTAACATTGACCTGAACATCTGGAACTTGTCAATTGAACAAGCCAAATTAAATGAGAAGGTGATGGGCTTTTTTTCTGTCAGAGCTGTACTTTGGTTTTCTATTTTTTCTTTGGTTTTAAAACTATCAAGTTCACAGAGTAACAACACATGTTTTGTAACATGAAGTCAAGGAATAATAGAAACATCAATATTTTCACACCCTCACCATAGCTTCAAATCAGTTATCTTACTTCAAGCATATAATTAGCTACTGTTTTTATGCAGTTTGATAAGAGACTATATAAGATAAATGATTGACTAACTTTTCATCTGAGTGCAGGTTGATGAAGAAGCCATAACTTACAACATACTGGCTATTGAATGCAAACTGGTCCCTGAGACAGCAGAACATGCACAAGGTCAAGATTTTAGACTTCGTCCTGGTGTCAGCTCTGACCCAGTTTCTGATTTTGAGAAAAAAGTCCAGGTAAATATGCATAATGCATGAAACTTAAGTGTTGTAAATGTCTGATGAAAGAACATACTTCATAAGTGTATCAAAATGTAGGGGAACAACGCTTCTTTGACAGTTAAAATTGAAATTAAAGAACACACTAAAAAATCTTTTTTTTTTTTTTTTTTGGTAATGTAAAGTATTTCAAGCTACAAATCATGTACTATTTAGTTTAAAATTGTCGCTAAAACCCACCCCATCCATAAAATTTGTGTGGTTTTCTACTTTAAACTATACCCATATATTGTTGACACTGAGGACAAAGTGTACGATCACGTGACCTTTTACATTTAACAGGAAACAATATTCAGCTATTCTAAAAAGATTTTAAAAATATTTTGCAATTAATTTTCAAAGTACCCTCTGTCAGAAAAGACAAAATTATTTGAACTAAGCAATCAGAAAAAAATTAGACTACGATACTAAGTGAAGTGGGGTTTAGCTCATCGGGCGAAGCTGAAAAATTACGTGGAAGTCTAATCATTGATCGGCGTTATAGCTTTAATAATAAAAATATACTGAAGAAATATACTATAAAAACTAGACTCACAAACTTGTTTATTAAGTAGCTACATGTTTTTATCTTACTGAACTATCAAGCCTCTAAAACTTGTTAACATCAATTTAGAAAAGCTTGGTGGTGCGTTGTTAACGAAGAAATCGGCCATTTTCTTCTACCGGGCCTAGAGCTATTTTAGTGATGCTATAGTGTGTTTTGTCGAGCTCGGCCTTTTTTTTTCTCAGAAATGAGAAACAAAATAAATGTTTTAACAGAAAAAAGGACCACCTTTCTGAATATGCTAATAAAAAATATGTACGATGATAGAATCACACGGTAATTTTCAAATTTCTTAGTTTTTTTTAACATTTAAAATATTTAGTCTATTATTTTTAACATTTAAAATATTTAGTCTATTATGTATTTTTTTCTTTAGTATCCCATTAAAGGCTATTCAATTCTGCACATTTTACGTGTATTTGTAAAGAATTACATTGAACGGTCGAAAAAGGCTCGCAAGTTGAGAGAGGGGTCAAAATCCGTTACTTAACTGCCGTTGAAAAATCATCTCTTTGATTGTTTTCAATTGGTAAATGAGATATATTGTTTAATTTCAACAACTATAAAAAAATTACACATAATTAGAGGGCTTAAAATCTACTTTTTAATGGTACCAAGCTTATTACTATACGAGCCCTTAATACTATCGAAACTATGAAGTGAAAAGATACTATGTTTGGGCGACGCAGGCGAAAAATCAGTTTTTTTACGGCCGTTTGACATACCTAATACTATGTTCGATTACTTTTAAAGTTAAAGAGAACTTTGTGAAGAGCAAAGAAATCAATTTTATCAACAACAAAAAATATAGGGGTTACAAAAAAGTATTTTCTAAGCTAAAATTGCGCACACATTTCTTCTTGGTTAAATGGTTTCACTAGCTGAATTGTGTAAAAGTATATGTATTTATATATATTTATATGCATGGGACAGAGTGGCCGGTTTCTCCATGAATATATACAATAAAATTGTTTCTCTTTTAACAGCCCAAACTGACTTCTATGAGGAAGTGCTGTCAAGAGTCCATTGGCAAAACAAAAAAATCTATCTTCCAGCTAGCAAATGAAAATGAGCAGGTAGTTTTTATTCTCTAAATCATTTTAAAACATAAAATTTAAAGAAAAAAATGTTACACTTGCTTGGGTTGAAACAAATGTGTCAGTTGAACACAAGAATGTACAGCTTTATAAACTCATTCAGACATGCCTACCCCTGTCAGCCAAAAGTAGGAACAGTCATGCCTAAAAAGAGGAACATACGCCGGACGCTACTTTACTAAGTCAAAAATAAAAATGGTTAATTAAAAATTACTCTTATGACATTAGTAGGCTTTTAGTTTTATATAACTAGTCTCTAGGCTACATTTAAATAATGCTTAATGTCAGCTTACATTTTTTTAAAAAGGTAACCAGTAACCTGAGGACCCCCCCCCCCCCTTCCCATAAAAACCATACCTTTGACATAACATTATTGATCTGATTATTTATGCCTTGCTAAGTTCTAGGCTATATGAATAAGGAATGCTTAAGGCTTCATCACATGTAATATAATTATATAATTAAGAGTATAGACCCTTGATCTACCTAGTAAAAGTCCTAGTTACTTCATAATAGTAGTTACTAGTTAAGTTACAACTTACAAGATAAATCATTGTTCACTATTTCAGTATCTACTAGTAGATCTGGTTACAATTCTAGATCTAGATTCTAGTATTAGATGATACTTGTAAATATAGTAAACTAGGAAACAGAAACATATGCCAAATGGAGATAATCTCTTTTCCCTGTCATTTTTCCAATTAACTTAATTATCTTTCTTTATTTATTTTTTTTTTTTTTTGAATCGGAGTCAAAACGGAATGACGGAACAAATTACTTTTTTAGGTGAAAAAGTGGGACGGTTCCCATTTTGGCAGGACAGTAGGCATGTCTGACTCGTTAGAGCTGATCCATGATTGTTTTAAAAAATCAAAACATTCAATCCATATTTTTAGCCTAATTTAATCGTTATAGCTACTTTGTAATAAGTGAATCAAACTATTGAGCAGTGATTGGTTAAAGTTTTCAACCTTATTGACATGGTTAAGTGAGATGAGATTTAATCCACCACCCATGATGCTTTTAGAGGGATTGTTATAGGAGTCTGATTGGTCAAATACAACCATGGATCAAGTGTTCTTTACATACCTTCCTCAATATCAAACGGATTTATCTTTTTGTGTTTTGATCTGCGGCACACATCTGCCTTTCTCTATTATAAGTTGATTCAAACTCTCAAAAACTGAACTTTCTTGATTTTATTCATTTTGGTAACAATAAATTAAAACTGTTTCAGTTTCAAGAAGTGCTAAGTGCAAGAAGGGATAAAATTGTCAAGTTACAGAAGGAATTAATATCTGTTGAGTCTAATATAGAACAAATGAAACAGGTAACATTTTGTTTACATTTTTAATGCTCAAGTAAATTATTGTGTGGATTTTTGAAAATTTTGATACATCTTGTAAATAAATCTGAAGTGAATACCATCCAACAGATGTCTAATTCAGACAAAAAATCACAAGTCAGTGAGATAGATGCATTAGAGCTAGATGTTGTACAGCTGGAGTCTTCTTGCAAGCAGCTTGTGTCAGAAAAAATCCAATTGTCAGAAGAATGTTCTTCCCGCAGTAAAAGGTTGTTACTGAGTTGTCCTTCTCTTGTTTCTCTTTAACATTTGCTACTAAATCCTAGCTCAAAACCCTTCCCCAGGCATTTAAGTTAATTTGTTTCATCATTATTAGGGGTTGGTGTGGTCGAGTTGGTAAAAGCTCATGGTTGCTAAACCAAAAAGTCTAGAGTTCAAACCCTCTGGCTGTTGAGGCTCGTTAGCTGGGGACAGCCACTCTTCTAGGAGACAACTCCAAAATCAAACAACTGCTGCCTTGTAGTTTTTTCTTGGTTGGACAAAGGCTATGGAAGCAAATCCAAAAAGAAAAGCAGGCTGTAATCGGAGTCTATGGCCTAAATGGCGCATAACCAGTTGACACATATCCTAAATTGTGATGGAGGCGTGGTCGAGTCTGTAAAAGCTCATGGTTGTTAAACTCAAAACTTCTCGAGTTCAAACCCTCTGGCAGATAAGGCTCGATCCATTCCAACACTAAAAATTAAGAACGAAGTTTCATTATTAAATTGACACAAAATATAGGACTAATGATTAATAAATTTGTTTTTTCTCCTATGGCTGGAAACATCTAATCAGCTTTCATTTTTGTGTTAGTTTAAATAGGCTGATAGAAAAAACAGATAAAGAAATTTCTAAGATCATTTGTGAGCGGGGAAAAAACAAAAAAGAGTGTTTTCTAAAGGTAATTATCACTGAATTTTTCTTTATTAAGTATACATTTTCAAATTTGGTAAATATTAAACCTTTATATTAACTTAAAATTGAATGTGAAGACATCAGTTGTGGATGACCTCAGGTTGAACACATTTGGTTACAATAAACAAGTGGGACGGTGAGGCATAAGCAGTAGAGCGCTAGACTGCTAACCTGAAAGTCTTGAGTTCAAATCCAGGTTCAAGTCTGTAGAACGTCCTTGAGTCCACCCGGCTCCAATGGATATCTTATTAATGTTAGGGAAAATAAAGGCGGCTTGACATAGTGGTGGCCACACTATCCCTTTTACAAATGTTAGTCATTCAGCCTGAATGGGCAATGCTAATGTTATAAGCAGCAACATTCATATAACACTTTGAATAATAACTTACATACAATATTTTGAGCTGCAACTAACATACAATATGTTTAGCAGCAAATAACATAAATTAACAGCCAAGCAAAAAAAAAATTTGAGAACCAAATTATTAGAAAAATCAATTTATTTTATAAGCATTCTTTTTAATAATGGCCAGTGATGAAAAAAAAAGGGTCAGTAATAAAAATTTTCTATTTATTAGGTGGAGATGAATGGGTTTGTTGAATACCTGAAGACCAAACGTGCAGAAGTTGCAGAAAGGGTGAACAAGCTTAGAACAGAAGCCCATTAGTAAATGATGGCAGGAGTTTTATTAAGATTGTTTTGTTTTTAATTTTAACTTCGTTGATTGTCTGTTTTAAAATTTTATTGTATTAATCATCTTTTTAGTTACTGTTAAGAAATAGTATCTAGTAATTGGGCGTGCTATGGCATACAAGTTATTCTAGTTTTAAATCATTGAAGTTCTGTCTTTATTTTTTCAGCACCCATTTGTTTTTTTTTTGTTGTTGTTTTTTTTTTTGCTTCTATCAACCAATAGTCCACAGAATCCTTTTTTTTTTTACACCACCTACTGACCATCCTCCCCCCACCCATCCTGTTTAAAGAAAAATACTACACCAGCAATCCTATTATACTGCATAAGGTACATCTACTTCATTCATCATTCATTAACCTTTTGAGGTACAATGTCTGAATGGTATCAGTATAATGTGCTACAGACTCCACTGGATTTTTTTAAAATTTCATTGTTTTATTCTAAAATCATTTTTCAATTAAAAGATTTTAAACACTTTGTTTTCACTCTGTTATAAAACATCTTGTGTATAGTGATATTATTATTATTATTTAAACAATTGAAATGTTTCAAATGCATAAGATTAATGTATGTTGTCTTTTCAAAACATGGTTACATACATACTTGGGTTGTCCTTAAATAGCAATATTGAAAAAAAAAAAAAAAACTAGCACCCATACAAATGAATCATAGCATTTCCCATAAAAAAATTACTGTTATCATCTTGTGAAAATATGCAATTACTTGTTTTATGATTAAAAGCAATAACTTTATACTTATGATTGTTTTTTTTTTTTTATATGCTACTGAATATTTGGAAATCAGGAAAAATAGCCAAATTTATCAACTACAAAAATACCATATTTGAATTTTTAAAAATTGAAAATAAATCAGTAATTCAGTTTTAGATTTTCTATTAATTCTACACTCTGCCTAAAATACCTTCAAATCTAGTTTTATTCACACCAGTGACGTTTTCGATATGACAGTTTAACACAAATTCATACTTTTAAAAAATATAGCTAGCTGTACCGGCAGGCACTGCACTGACATTTGAGGTAACTGTTTATTGTAAATGGCTTTGACTTGTGTGCTCAACAAGCACATTTAATTACAGGTGTACTGTGGTGGGGATACAATGGTGTCTGCAACTAGTGCAACACGTACATCATATGAAGGGCATAACCAGGTCGGGAGGAAGACTAATTTTTATTAAGTGGCCTCAAGTATCAGTTGTAAGGGGGAGATAAAATTTCACACCAATAAAATTGTGTAGAATAAATTGTTTTATACTAAATTATAGTTTATTTTTTGTCAAGGAACTGGGGAAATAGTTTAAATTCCTGACGCAGTTACATCCCTTTTTGTGGGTTTAAATAAGCGGGGAGGCTTGTTAATAATTGTATTCATTTTCACACCTATTTGAAAACCGTGTGAAAATTTTAAAAATTAAATTTTTCTTTTAACTAAATTTTTTTCTTCTTTACTTTTTTGGGTAGTTACAGAATGGAGTTTAAATTCCTGACTTTGTTACGTCCCTTTACTAAGGACTAAATGCGTTCCCGTTTAATTATCAACCCCTATGACTTTTCTGAGAATCTGTTATTTTTTTCCAGGTGCATCTCCTTAGTAAATATCAACCTTTTGTCGCATCCTGCAAGCATGTGGTCGATCTAATAGTTTAAAATTATATAAGGCTGGGTCACTATACTCTGTTAGTTTTCGGTCACTTTAAACTTTATTATTGAGATGATTCTAATTCTCCCGTAACGAATAGAGTGAACAGCAAGCTTTATCAAGAACAATGTCCCTGCAACTTACCTGCAAGTACCCGATCTAATAGGTGTGAGTAACAAATCAAACATCACCCACTTTGCTTTTAGTTTTATAGATATAGATAGCATGCGACTGCGGGGGGTATAATGTCACCGGGCGCCGAACCTAGGGGTGCCAAAATGGGCTGGAAAAAAAAATTTAAAGCTCATTTTAGCTGCAGTTTTGCATAATAAATATTAATATATGGGGGGAGGGGCGCTACGCCTCTGTGCGAAAGATTTAAGTTTCTTTCAAAAACCGTGATTATATTAGAAGGGAAAATTGAGTTAAAACGAGTGATTCTTTTATTTATATTAATAAGGCTATTGTTTAAATATATTAAACAACTATTATTTATTAGAAAACAAATGAAATACAAAGAATACATTAATCAATAATGTGTTATATGACTTAGTTAGTAGATAGTGGTATGATAAGATGCTCGTCAGGAGTTTTGAGTGTGATAGTATGAAGAAGGGGTGAAATAAAACTGGGGGTGGGGACATTGCCTGGGGTCGCGAAGGTCTTTCTGGGGGGTCGCCAACTGGTATACTAAACCTTAGTAATTTGAAACAACACATAAATTTTTAGAATCATTTTTTAAATTCGGCTTCATTAATATTACTGGAAATGTAATAGAGAAGAAACAAAGCGTACTGTACAAAGTTGTTCTCAGTCACGAATCTATGAAATCTTCAAAACTAAAACGTCATTTGAAACGAGTCGGAACACACCACAAAATATATGGAGTTCTTTCGTCGGTAAGAAGCTAGTTGCAAACGTCAGAGACTTGATCGAACAGGAAGTTTTCACCAGCATTAGTGCAAGCATCAAATGAAGTCGCGATAGAAAATGCCAAGCAAAAAAAAATAAAAACAATAGGAGAAAATCTCATCAAACGCTGCATGTACATAAATGTTAAATAACACTTTTTTAAAATTGAAATTAAGCTTTCACCATTGTTTGCTTTTCAAGTTGATAAATCAACAGACGTGAGTTCGTGTTCGCAGTTGCTGGTCTGTGTCTATATTCATGCGGATGATAGCAAAGAAGAGTTGCTCTTTTGTGAAGAAGAGATGCCTGGAAGAAACTGCTTCCCACACTTTGATACCGTTGACCTCATCAAGTGGCTTTGATCAGGAACGATGGGGAGGGGAGTATAATAATCCCCGCGGACAATGTCATAAAACAACTGTTGGTTTCTTAAATTAGCTTCGGACGATATTTTAACAATGATTGTTTTTTTTTTAAATGATTAAAAAGCGGCGATAAAAATGCGTCTTACCGCTCTTCACTAGGGGAACTAACCTTTGCAGTCACTATCGCCTGTTGCTGAAGTCTCCTCTACTCGGTAGATGACGTGGTCACGGGCCCCGGAGCCTTCAGAGAAATCTGTTTCTCGAAATATGCCATGCAGGATCTCGCAGTCTCGCGATACAAAATTCTAGAGCTTTATGTCACTCCAGCCGAGTAGATAGCATCACGTACGTCCTGACAGCTACGGGTTCAGAACCGATATTGTCATTGTATTGTACGTGGTGTTTTATTGTGTTTACTTTTAGTTAAATAGCTTTTTCAGCAACATGTAACCAGCAGCGGTGTTTTGTATCGCTTGTTTTTTGCTTCATTTGGAGGTCTATATGTCAAGATAAGCATTTCCATCAGCACAAACACGAAGAACTATAGTCTTCATTTCAAAGCTGAGTAGTAGAATTCAGTGCTGACGTATTGAGTATACTCGTTAGCTGATAATGCCTTCTGTATGAGACCTCACCGTAAAACCTGATTTAATTGTCGTTTGCTTGTATTGCTATTTAGATAGCACGAGAAACAAGCGAAGCTGTCCGCACCGGACCCCAGCACTCCCTGGACCATCTACTATCCTCTCAGTGGGAAATCCCACCGCACGCCTTTGCTGTAGGCCTATAATATATATATAAATATATATATATAAAAATATATATATATACACTAGACTTTTTATTAACTTGTTTATCTTTGTACTACACAATTGAGGTAGAGAAAAGTTGAATCTGTTTATTTTCTTTCAGTGTGTGTAGTCTTGTAGCAGTTTATTTTCTTAAGTTTGTGTACAATTCAATACTTCAGCATAAAATAAGCTTTGTGTAAACAAAAATTATATCCCTTTTGATCAGCCCCCCCCCCCCCCCCAATGAGTAGTTAAATATATAAAAGTGACATTTAATATTTAGTCCATTACCTATACGATTTTTCAAGGACAGTCGCACATCAGGTTTTAACCCCCACCAAGAGTCTCTTTGAGACATCTCTTCTGGGACATTTATTGTTGCAGAATTGAATAATCTATACTGGGACACTACAAAATGAACATAAGTCTATAATAAGTAAAGAAAAAACCTATAACTGTCCATGTAATCGAAACTTTCATCACCAGTGAACCCTGTAGATAATTAAAACAAGTGTTCGCATATAGCCATACCATAATTATAATGAGTTATTTGTAGAACCAATAGTAAACACATCAAATTTAGATACACTGAATGTGGTATTCTAAATGTTTTTTTCACTACTAAATGCGCTACTTGTTTTAGAGACTAATTATTTTGACAAGAATCTTGCACTTTTCCAGCCACCATTGGATCGTATAGAAGTAATGCACCACAAAGACTGCTATAAGTTCACAGCTTTGGTCATTATGCATACTGATAGATTTACAGTGGATGTCATAACTTGTTTTTACAAGTTCCCTTTTCAAACCTGAAGTGGTATAGTTATAGGGCAAGTGAAGTATAGTTCACTCGTGTGACCTCGGCATGTGAAGTGAATGTGGTCAGCAGCCTTTACTTTCCCCAACATGATTTCAGATTCTTAACCAGGTTTTCAGGCTTCCAATTTGAATCTGGTTTACTGACAATAGATTACAACCAACATAAAATACACTGTATACACAGAAATATAACTAACACAGTAATGTTACATTAGACAAGTTTAATTGTTTAACAGACTTAAGCCTTGCTAAAGCCCTTCTTGGCACCAGTAGCCTTGGTAACTTTAATAACATTGTATTTCACTGTCTTGGATAAAGGTCTGCATTCACCCACAGTTACAATGTCTCCAATCTCCACATCCCTGGAAAAAAGATATATAAACATCTGACAATTTAGTGTTGAAAGCTTAAAATCTAGCTAAAATTCTAACTAGTTTCTTGTCATTGTTGACAAATGATACTCTTGAAAATTTGGTGTTTAGACCATTTCACGGAACACAAAATAACTGCTACCAACAAACAACCCCCCCCCCCCCAACCTAAAAAATTATGAATGTATTATTAACCAGTAACAAGAAAATGATGGGTCTAATGAATCAGCTACTTTACAATAGATATGTGCCAAATTATTGCAATATTCTTTGCTGCCTTATGTTTGTAAATATACAAATAATATACTGTTTCATGGTTGACTGAAACCTTGGTTAAAAAAAAAAGATGACTTAATGGAGACTAAATAGTTCATGTGAGCATTCAAAGCAAGGTAACACTACTTTGTTGTTACAGAAGATAAAAGCGCTTATGGGGAGCAACAAATAATACAGCTGAAATTGAAGTAGCTTAATACAAGTCGACAGTTCTAGATAAGAAATCAAACCACCACCAAAAACAAACAAAAAAAAAATACTGATGATTTCAATTGTCAAATAAGGCAAAATAACCTGTTCAGGCAATATTGTAAAATGGGTGTAAAAATAAAAAGCAAATCAATAAAAGTAGACACGAAAGGATGTCTAACTACTGATTGTAAAACCGGCATAAATATTAAATAATATTGTCATTATAATAAAGATACAACAAATAGTTAAAAATGAATTGAGATTACAGACCTAAAACAAGGCGACAAGTGAACACTAAGATTTTTGTGTTTCTTCTCAAATCTGTTATATTTCCGTACATAATGCAGGTATTCTCTGCGTATGACAATGGTTCTCATCATCTTCATCTTCAACACTCTCCCAGACAAGATTCTACCACGAATGCTTACATTGCCTGAAAAAAAGTTTCATGTCAAAGATTCAGATTCAAAGTTTCATGACGAAGATAAAAGTTTTGAACATTTGGACTGTAAATGCCATAATTAAAACACACAAAAGTAATTACCTGTGAATGGACACTTCTTATCAATGTATGTGCCATCAATAGCCTGTTCAAAAAATTATAAAGCCGTTAAAAAAAACAGAACAATGATCAGAAAAAAAAAAAGATTTACAGCAAAATGTGATTGAGATAAATTATGCATTATTAAACATACAGTAATCAGATATTGATAATTCTCAGATGTACAATCAATTTTCAACATAAACACTACATACCTCCCTGGGTGTCTTGAAGCCCAAACCAACATTTCTCACATATCGTAGAGCCTTTTTGGATTTGCCTTGAAGGTAAGCCTTTTTGTTCAAGAAAACTGTGGGTTGCTTTTGGAAAGCCCTCTCTATCTGTAAGGATAAAAATACTTAGTAACCTGAATAAACTGCGAAGTATAGGCCTAAATGAAATGACAAAAATCAACAATTTCCTAATCAGAATTAAAAGAATGGCTTCATGTAATTTATCAGAAGACCATCGTGTAAAATTCATCATGAAAACAAAACAGAATTCAAATAAACAGTACAAGACAGCAAACAATATCCACATAGGTCTAGAACAGCAATAAAACCCAAAATAGACTTTCACAACAACGGATATAGGACTATTCTAAATACAGGCCTGGATGATTTTAGATACCGATGTCCGATAATACTCTTCCATAAAATAGGTGTGTTGGGTTGATAGTATTGTAATCTCGACTAATGTTATGGTTAGAAATTAGGGTTAGGCGTATGGTAGGACCAGGGTTGGGGTTAGGGTTAGCATTGACATTAGCCAGTCATGTGTGTATTTAGTTAACTACCAGTAACCCAACACCCCTTTTTAAAAGAAGATTCCATTATCGGACACCAGTATAAAATTCTCCCATAGGCCTATATTTTAAGAGGATCGTCATGAAGATTTGCAAAAAAATTTAAAATCCAGTGTCTGAACTATTTTTTTGTTATATAATAGAAACATAAGTATTAACTAACTTATAGAAATTTTATTGGTAAAAAAAAAACCTATCAAAGCAAACTCAATTCTGCTTTGACATCCAATAGATATATGTATTTGTAATAATTTTGCAAAATTAGAACCTCCTATGACTCTTCATTAATGAGAAATATTCCGCATGGTTTTGTAAATTACAGAAAAACAAATGCGAGAAAAACTGAAAAAACTATTGCGATGTCAGTTTTAGAGATAATTTTATTGTTATTATCATACCATGCTTATATTTTTAGGAACAATGTGCAATGGTACACATAAATATCACTTTATACAAAGAAAATGTTTTCAAATAAACAACCAGGAATAAAAGTAGAAACATACACCCCTAAGAAAATTTTTGATCATAAAAAGTAAAAAACATTTTTTTTTGTAATCCACCTCTAAATTCTTGGCTATCAAGTATAGCAACCTGAAAAGTCAACTTGCCTTAGTTAATTAATTTTAAATTTGATGTTTTAGGTTTATTTAGCAATTAAAAAACAATTATACTACTGCGAAACAAAATGTAAAAATTAAATCTTAGCAGTATTATCTAAGTAAAAATTAGATTTCCCTCTTCAACCAGTAAATGGCAATTTTAAATACTCGCATACAATCACAAGGTCAGTCGCGCAACAAAATATCTCTTCCCTTCCACTCCCTTTGTTGAAATACATCACAAAAGTGTAGATCCGTGCGAAAGCGCGGGGAAAAAATGGAGTAAAATTCACTTAAAAATAGCAATTTTTAAAGTTGGAAACTACGGACTTCGAAGTTTTGTTTCTAAAACTGGATTACAGACTTTTAAAAATTCCAGCCCAAAAACTTGTGATTTTTAAAGTCTTAAATTCACTTTTCTAAATTCAAGACTTTCCACTGTGTACGAACCCTGTTTTAACATTACTAGTCGTGGGCGAATTTACGTACCTAAAACGATAAATTAGGCCTACCTATAAAATTTATTACGAAGGGACTATTCGGAAGAAGATTTTTCTCCCTGTCTCCGCTTAGTCTGCAAAAGATAGCTCTGCGCATGCGCAGCGACCTATGGCAAGGGTTAGAATTAGGGCTAGGGATAGGATGAGGGTTATGGATAGGATAAGGGTTGGTGTTAGGGTTCTGCAGTTGTAAACACACGCATGCGCAGTACCATAGAAAACATCGCCGCGATAGCAAGTCGTAGTTTCCACTGCGCATGCGTATCTTACTCCGGCTAGCATCGGCAATCGGCAAATTATAAATGGACATATTTGTTACCAATTCTAATGTTTCTGTATAAAACATTCAAATAACAGTTCAATTACTATTCAAAGTGAGAGTATGAAGGGGTTCAGGTCGAGGCGCGTAGTCGTGACAGGCAGTGTTTCTCTACCCAACGCAACTATTCCAGGACTATTTTCTCGAGATTTTTCTAGATTCTAAATAAGAATCTAGAATAATGATTCTAAGAGGCGTTAGGCCTATAACTTTTTAAAAAAATTAGTAAATTTTAAATCTACCAGAGCAGTTCGAATATCTCACAACGAATTTGAAAACTTTCATATAAAAATTCAACATCATGCGTGACTGCAGCATTGAGCAGTCGAGCGCCAGTTGCCAGTTATCGACAACGTTAATTTTTAATAAAATATGTATTTTACGTACGTTTTAAACACAATTGGATAGTTACAATATTTGGATATCATTATGTTTGAAATACGAAGAAAGTATACTTAAGTGTTTCAGTGATAATACATATTAAAATCAATAAATTTTAAAAAGCACACATGTCTACCTGATGATCTCCGGTGGCCATGTTAGCTAAAAAGAAAGAGCTGTAGCACGCTGGGATACATATCTTCCGCTTGGAATAATCAAAATCCAAATTTTCGTCGAGAAACGAAACAAATAATTTCCAAGAACTCATCATACAACTCTATCAGAAAACATCGAATTTAGATCTAATAGAAGCTATACTAAGGTATCATTCACTTAAGACGTCTACATAAAAATAATTCTTAGACCCCTCCATCAACCATGCCTACACGCGTCCAATTTAAACGAACCCCCCCCCTTCCACACACAAACTTAAATAGATCTAGTTCTGGGGGGGGGGGGGGGGTAAAAACCGTCCAAAAAAGCGTGGCGTCATTTATGGATGACCCCTAAGCCCATTTGTCTGGAGCCAATATGTCGTGTGGCCTTTTGTTGGGACCCAATACGACGTGAGCCTATTTGTCGGAAGCCTAAATGTCGCGAGCACATTGGTTGGGAGTCAATATGACAGGAGCCCATTTGACGGGAGCCAATATCTCGGAGCTCTTTTGTCGGGGCTGTTTTGACTGGGTTGTTTTGTCGTAGCCGTTTTGCAGCTTCACGCAGCATCATAATAATTCGTCAGGTAATTCTGGTTCATGACCCACATTTGTGTTGCCTTTAACGCCCACAAAAGTGCTTAGTATAGCCCATTAATTTTATTAATGCCATAGACATCGTAGTTTAATTCATCGATGAGCATGTTGTTTTTATGTTCATTGTCCTTCAAATTGTCACATTTTGTATGCAACTAAAATGTTCTCTATTGCAGAATAAACGCACGATCTTTCGTTAAATTCAACATATGGACATAAGCACATGGACCAGACCCCTAGTCCACCCGCGACCACAAAAGTTCACTTTTTCGGACCCCCTCCCTACCTTTAGTGTGCTCTACCATCCAGCCACTACGTCTCATTTCATTGTCATATTAACAATGTGACGAGATTTGACAACAAACACGAGCTCCCACTTGAGATACAAGGAATATCTAGTAAGCAAGAACTGGAGAGCATTTGGGTAGGCGCATCAGCAAGGCTGTGTACTGTGTACGCATTCAACACGCTTTCTTCGAGATGCGCTGATTACACTTTCCAATATTCGACTAGTTTTGACATTAGCAAAACGTGTATTTTCTTTAATTAACTACCAGTATCCTTACACCCCTTTTTAAGGAGATTCTATTATCGGACACTGTTGTAAAAATCCCCCCCCCTCGACTATATAAATATAACAGCAACATACATATTACAATCTGTTCTCCTTGTCAATGGTTATTAGACGTGGATCGAGTAACACAAGCTTATAACAACAAATTTCAGACTTTCTATCAAAGATGTCTACTTTGCATCAGGGACACCGTTAAATGTATATATTTTTTTCGAAGAGATGCCTGGAAGAATCTCTGTATATAATCATTAGATTGGAATCACCAAGGAAAGATTAGGAAAGTCGGTAGGTCAAAACTAACTTGGAGAAGATCAATTGCCAGTGAAGCACTTAATAAAACGCCAGAATAACACAAACCCAACTTGGATATATCGCTCAAAGCTAAGTTAAACTATGTACGTGTTACGACCATGCATTTCACAAGGGCAGAGAAATGATGACTCACTAAAAACATTTTTATCAGCGACCCATGCTTTTCTTTATATTAGTTATATAAATATTGATGCATTTATAGTATATAGGGCCTACTTAATGAAAATCATTTTTTAGTAAATAGGCTATCATATAAATGACTGTTATCACACACTTTTGTTGTTGTCTTTCTGAAGCATGAATTTATTCCTAAAATATTAACTGGGCTGGGTCAGGAGTAGGCACTGCACCCGGAGCACGTTCACCACCCCACCCCATACCGAAAAATCTAGAATTTATACAGAAAAAATATATTTAAACCAGTGTAGCCCCCCCCCCCCCGTCCCCCTGAAATTCAAAGTATGTCCCCCCGTCTCTCCTACCAAAGTTACGGAGAAAAATACATGAACGAAACCGTGAGTGAGACGTTAAACGCTCTGACCACTTTCTTAAAACATTTTCCTTTTCCCTTATAACTAGTTAGATCATAACCACATAGTCTAATACACTGTACAAATCATTGTTATAATTTTATAATTATTTATTTGTTGATTATATCATTTATTATTTAAAAAACGAATCGAAAAAATAATGTCAATGTCACTGCTCCTCTCCCTAAAGCCGTTGTAACGACAACAGCAATCGGCAACAATGTCTTTCTCTTTTCGACTACTTCCAAGGATCACCCGATCAGTTTCTCCTCAGTTATCAAGGAGCTACGTATGTAGACATTTTTTTCTTTTTAATATCCAGCATTGAAAATAATTTATTACTAGACACTAGTATAAAATCTCTATCTAGATCTAGAGATCTAGACTAGATCGTAGATCTAGATCTAGATCTAGATCTAGATCTAAATTAAACTAAATTTAGAATCTAGAATCTAGATCTAGATCTAGATCTAGATCTAGATTTCTAGATCTACTTGCAGTACTTTGACTAGACAAGGTTAGTCGTAAAAGAAAAAAAGAAAGTGAAAGTGTCACAAAAGTAGAATAGTAGATCTAGCTAGATCTATATCTAGATTAGATCTAGATCTACTACTAAACTCTAAAAGTAAGTGCTAAAAGTACTGAGTAGATCTAGATCTAGATCTAAGAAGTAATAGTAATAGTATAATCTAACTAAGTCTAAGCCACTAAGACTAAGAGTCTAGTCTAAGAGTAAGACTAAGGGCGCTAAGCTAGAGTAGATTTGTAGACTACGACTACTGTCAGTAGTCACAGTAGATCTAGATCTAGTACTGTAGTACTAAGTACTTATACTGACCTGACACTAGTCAAAGTGACTACTGGGGGACTAGTAACCTATAGTACTCAAGTACTGGCTAGTACTTAGTAGTAGACTTACTTAATATTACTTATACTTATTACCTACTTAGTAGTACTAGGTCTAGCACAGAGGCGTAGGGAGGGGGCGGGGGGGGGGGGGGGTGCGAACCGCACCGGGTGACACCTTTTAGGGGGGGTGACACCAGGGCAAAAAATCGCAAAACATATAGAGAAAAATTTGAGGGGGGGGGGGTGCAAATCGAAAATTGAAAGTTTGTCCCCAGGAAGGGTAGCTATGCCTCTGGGGGTTGGCACCATTAAATGCCGCACCGGGTGACACCCCACCTCGCTACACCACTGAGGTCTAGTACTTACTAATAGTATAGTAGATCTAGATAGATTTAGAATAGGTTCTTTATTCAGATTCTAGAATCACTCTAAGAAAAAGCATTAAAGCTAAAAAAGCAAGACCCAATCAGGCTAACCTGCACACATACTTACTAGATCTAGATTTTCTACTATTATGAAAAATCAATTCACAACACTGACACTTACTACAGTTACAGTAACAACCACTTGCTTAAAGGAGAAGATAATATCTAATATAAATATAATTTTATATAATATGCAAGAGGCACACTTTCAAATATCAATTGTGATCAACATATGCCTTTAATTCACTAAGAGGCCTGATGTAGATGTGGAATTAGTACACAGCCTCGTCAACCAGCCAGAGGAAGATAATAATCTTCAACACAAATATTTACCAGTTTCACATTATGGCTTGGAGACCTAGAGGGTTACCAAGTAAAATACAATAGGGGGAATTTTTATACCAGTGTCTGATAATAGAATCTTCTTTAAAAGAGGTGTTAGGTTACTGTCTATTAGAGTTATTAGATGTATACATTGTAAATATTTAAATGCCTAGTCTATAGGCCTTAATCCAATGAAATTTTTTTCTCTTTTAGAGTTCAACTTCTAAAGATGGGAAACCAAAAACCTCTAAAGCTGCAGATAAAAAAGAACCAACATCACAAGCCACTATTTCCCCTTCTAAAGGTAACTAAAAGTGTCAATCATTATGTAACTGCTTATACAACTATTATTTGTCAATTACAAAGTTAGTTGCTTGTTGATGTATACTAGTGAATTCTGATGCTAAAAACATTGTATGGAAATCCACACGGAGCCATGCCATCGGCTGAAAAATGAGTCACTATCATCATTTTTCTATCAAACTGCATTTGTTATTTACTAGATAGTGATTCTTTGTCCTGACTTTATTTAAACTGCTAAACCCTTTACATTTGTATGCGCCCACTGTTGCCCAAGAAATTTCTCTAGTAGTACAGTCTGATGCATCTTTTCTACATTAGTTAAAACTATGTATAGTATAGAGTCCTTTCATATGACGTCACGTCCGTTCGTGATACCTACGCCCGCCGCCACAGTGGTGTACACAAGACGTAAACACAATCAGCTGTTCGCCAGCGCTGGACGTGTTCACCAGCGCTGGACGCGTTCACTGTATGTAAAGAACCGCACCCGCGGAAAAGGAAAAATACGTTAAAAAACTTGAACTCTTAGGAATTGAAGATCCTTATACTGTTATTGACAGTTTCGTATAAATAAATATGTGGACAAAATTTCTAAATAAAAATACTGTTAGTAATACTGTTTGCGTTTAGAGTTAAAGTAGCCGAATCTGATCAAATGCAGTTCTCGATACTTTGTTTCATGTAAGGACAGTAAAATAATAAACTTCATTTTAATTATAAAAGATAACTATTAATAAAACAAATATGCTCGACCTTCACAAATACTAATAGTAAAAGACAAAGTCAAAAGTAATAGGCTAATAAGAATAATAAGATCTAATAGTAGGCCTAATACCTGGCTCCGCTGGGTAGACATAGAATCTAGAATCTACTTCTTTACTTAAATTTAATTACTTAAGATCTACATTCGATTCAAAATACACCCATAATAAATCAAAAGTAGTCATAATAGGCCTAATAAAGCATTTAATTGTCTCTAAGATGTAAAATCTCGCTCTATTATCTAATCATTTTTTTAGCAAACGAAATTTTCTGAAATTGAAATAGATTGTATGACTAGACTTAGATCTAGAATCTGCTACTTAAATTAAATTGTAAAACTTTATACAAGCATGTAGTTGATATTATTGTAGTAGAAGGCTTTAATAAATTACTAAGGCCTACCTACTTTGTTGTCTTTTTACAGCAATATGTATCTGATACTGGACTGAGTTTAATTAAATTCAAATTCATATCTAGTAATTGGTCTACTAAGTTTTTGTAGCCTAGTAGTACAATCTAGATCATACCAGCCAACAACAAATAACCACATTATTATTATTTGGTTAATGATTAGGCTAATTTTTTTTTTTAAATCCACTGTTTATAAAAGAAACAAATCAAGCTAGAAACATTATAAGTGAGATGGTTTAGAATAATAACAATGAACCCAGTCTACAATTGATACAATTGCAGGTCTACATAGGGCCTACAGTCTAGTAGTTTACAGTAGGCACCTAGTGTGTAGCTAGTATACTAGTGTGTAGCTGTCCAGAGTTAAGATTCTTAATGCCTTAATGCTTTCCCCTGATAAGCCATGTGTGCTATAAATGACATAACATGACACCGAGGTGAGAAGTGTTGAGGGGAGAGCAGTGGGACTTTCCCCTTTGTTCTCCCTGCTGGGCCCTGAGGGTCAAAATTATATAAGAAATACTATCTCTGTGGGGCTGGGTATCACGGAGGTGAGACATTTTCAGGGGAGGGCAGGGCAGACTCCTCTTTGGTTTTATTGTGGGCTAGATACAGGTGGGGGCAGCCATTATGAGAGTTGAACATCAGTATTAATGTGTCTGATTACTTCCCTGCTGGATTATAAGGGTCTTAAATTGTATAACATGCTACCCAGATTGGTTATTACCCATGGATTATATTAGCCGTTGTAGTGTGGGTTTTGTAGGAGTTAAGTGGTCTCACGTTTGCTACAGTAGATAACCTCTAATATATTACTGCATTTGATCAGCTTCGTCTACTTAAACTCTAAACGCAAACGGTATTACTAACAGTATTTTTATTTAGAAATTTCGGCCACATGTTTATATTATCCACGAAACTGTCAATAACTGTATAAGGATCTTCAATTCCTAAGAGTTCAAGTTTTTTAACATATTTTTCCTTTTCCGCGGGCGCGATTCTTTACATACGGTGAACACGTCCAGCGCTGGCGAACAGCTGATTGTGTTTACGTCTGATGTACACCACTGTGGCGGCGGGCGTAGGTATCACGTGATTTAGGTCACGTGTTTGCAAGGACTCTATTAGTATATTTATTTATGAGTTATAATGAAGTTTTGGTGGTAAAAATTTTTTAAAGTAGATACAAACAGAAGTGGTGATTTCATGTTATTTTCTTGTGTTGTTTCTCTAGAGATAATTTTCTTCACTTTTTTGAAGTTAAGAATTTTAAAAAATTACTGGCAATATAATTAGTGAAATTTAAATGAATTAAAATGCCTGTGCCATTGAATCAGGCTTTATGCAGGGGAACTTAAGCCAAAAAAGACTTCATCACCTATTTTACCATGATATAAGGATTAAATTAACAAATACATTAATAGGATGTAGATTTTAGTTCACTGTTGTAGTATTAGACATAAGGTTTCCTAAGTAGGCAAAGGTAGAGTAAAGAATCATGCTGACAAAACAATCTGGCCAGATGGGATCAGTTACCATCTGGCCACATGACACTAGTGCATTAGGGCAGGCATGTCAACACAAGAACAATTTTCATACAGCATCCAAGTCAAATCACATAACAGGGGTCGGCGTGGTCGAGTCGGTAAAAGCTCATGGTTGCTAAACCGAAAAGTCTCGAGTTCGAACCCCCGGGCAGATGAGGCTCGTTAGCTGGGGACAGCCACTCTTCTAGGAGAGACAACTCCAAAATTAAACAACTGCTGCCTTGTAGTTTGTTCTTGGTTGGACAAAGGCTATGGAAGCAAATCCAAAAAGAAAAGCAGGCTGAAATCGGAGTCAATGGCCTCAATGGCGCATAACCAGTTGACACGTAATGCTTAATTGTGTTGGAGGCGTGGTCGAGTCGGCAAAAAGCTCATGGTTGATAAATTCGAACAAAGTCTCGCACTGGCAGATAAATCTCGATCACCTTTAACACTAATAATTAAGAACGAAGAAGAAGAAGAAAAGAAGAAATCACATAACCATTTTATGTATTTGCTATTTTGTTTCTTTTCAGCTTCAGTAGCTGCTTCTAAAGTTTCTGAACCCCAAGTCGTCGAAAAGGGAGACACATACAAGGCTGGAGAAACTTACTTCAACTTTGATTCATACAGCTTTTACGAACTAGAAACTAAAATGAAATCCTATAGGAAATCTCAACCTTCTGCAAATGAAAAGGCATCTTAATTCTTGAAAACTTTGCTGTTTGGATGTTTATAGTTTTCATTGGCTCATTCAGTTTGGATTCTGTGTTAAATTGTTTCATAATTGGAGATTATTTCTGGTTGTTACAGTCAAGTGTTGATTTAGAAGACATTTAAAAAGTTCTTCAGTAAAGTCTGCAATTTATAATACCATTTTTGTAATGTTTCTTAATAGCTTTAGGCTATTACTATTTATATTTTGAAGCCAGATTATTAAGTTCAATGATTAAATAAGGATATTAGCTTAGTACATGAAAATGGTCTTGTTTAGCAAATATTTATATTGTGATGTACATAATGGACATAGCATGTGTTGTTCCTATCAGATATAATTATTTAAGTGTTTTATTAAACCTGAGAATTTAATTCATCTGTATTTGATTTTTACTAGTGTTACTGTTGTGTGTGTTGAGTTCACATTGTTTATTGAACTTAACTTCACATTTTTTATTATGCCTTAGTATCACTTTTTATATGAACGCACCACCAATTGATAATTAAAATTGCTAATTTGGACATCTAAAAAAATTCCTTTCGTGCTGTTGATGGATGTGCTCTAGCATCTTCTTCTTCGTTTTTAATTTTAGTGTTGGAAGGGATCCCCTCCAACACAATTAAGTATACATGTCAACTGGTTATGCAACATTGAAGCCATTGACTTCGATTTCAGCCTACTTTTCTTTTTGGATTTGCTTCCATAGCCTTTGTCCAACCAAGAACAAACTACAAGGCAGCAGTTGTTTGATTTTTTGAGTTGTCTCTCCTAGAAGAGTGGCTGTCCCCAGCTAACGAGCCTCATCTGCCCGAGGGTCCGAACTCGAGACTTTGGTTTAGCAATCTTGAGCTTTTACCGACTCGACCATGCCGACCCCCTGCTCTAGCATGATTATAACCCAAAAAAAAGTTCAGTTCATGGGTTTAAATCCATCGCTAATGGTTACATAACTGAAGTCTAGCAAGTAACACAAGGCAGTCTAGTGCTGATACATCATTTGATACTTGAGTGTGTTTACACATTGTACTAACATATCCATGATTGTAAGCTTTAATCATCCTAAGAGGTGTATCTAGAGAACATTATGCATAGGCTAATACTATGAGACACTTAACATACAGTTTAATATTGTTTATGTAGTGCAGAAAGGCAAGACCTTTGTGCCTAGTACCTTACAGTATCAGAGGATTTCTGAAGCCTAAAATACATTATTATAAATTCAACCAATAACTACACAGTGGATGCCTTGGGTCTCTGGCTAAACCAATTAATCAGAATAGTACTTGATGGATCATTTTGTCTTACCACCATACAGGGAAATAAGCTGTGTTGCTAATGGTACATTGGATACAGCACATTGTTTCAATCCATTGCTTATTAAACCTACTCACTGGCTTTTCACATGAGCCCCAGTCATTTTGAAACATCCAATGCATTTAGATTTCTAATTAGCATAAAAGGCAGTAGAGTATTAGAACTCTAAATCTAAAATATTGTTACATGTTAGTCCAACTTATACATATGGAGTAAATAGTTCATAATATAATTTTGTCCTGATTGTCTGTAAGGGTTGGCTTATTTTAACCTCTATGTACCCAGTCTAAGGTAGTTTGTTATGAAAACATTCACCATGATGAGTTAAATGATAATTTGGCATTTTCCAGGTGAAAGTGTATTGTTCTGAAGTACCCACACCAAAAAGACGTAAGTGTCATTATACTAAGATTTCATTGTTAAACATTGTGTGTAGTGTAATTAGTAATTAACTATACAATAATTGCATTTTTTTTTTCCAAAATTTTAGCAATTTCACCTACGCCCCGTAGACTCCTGCCAGATCCATTTGGCCACATGGTTGAGTGTAAGTTCTTTTATAGCCTATTTATTAATGTTTTAACTTTAACATACTGTACAGTGACCAATGGGACTGCATGGCTTAGGGGAAGACAGCTAACCCTAAAGTCTCGAGTTCTGGGTTCAAGTCAGTACAACATCCCTGAGTGCACCAAGCTCTGATGGATAGTTAACTGACCTTAGGGAAAGTAAAAGTGGTTGGGCATAGTGCTGACCACACTATCCTTTCATGTGGTCACAGAAGCAGGTTAACTCTACTTCATTTACCCCATGAACCTTCAGGTTCGAAAAGGAAACTACTTTTACAACTCCAAGGCTGACTGCAACATTGTTGTTACATATTGCTAATGCCTTCTCACAGAAGCACATTCTGTTTCTAACTTTATCTCCTGTTGTTAGCTAAAGTAAGCAGTCTGATATCAACTGATAGGATACTCCCAAACAAATATTACATCACTGCACAGAGTTTTGTTTCACACATTGATGTTATAACATTTTAAGTTATCATCTTATTGCGTCAGTGACAAGACATTTTGGGCAGATGAAATCGAGTTAATCTGTTTCAATGACCATGGCATACAAGGGATGGTGTGATCTATGCCCAGTAGCCTTAGTTTCCCTGAGTTAGGTGGACTCAGGGTTGTCCTACAGGCTTGAGCCAGGGATCCAAACTCTAGACTTCCAGGCTAGCAGTTGTAAGCTCTACCATCTGACCATGCTGTCATTTAAACACTATAAATATCACTCTGATAATCTTTTTTTAAAATTTGCTCCTACATTTAGGCGTCTCCATCTGTCTTCATCCATCTTGTTCCAGTGTTGGAAATTGCTCACTTATAAATCTTATGCTTTCATTTAGGGCCAAATAAAGAAGAGGAAAAACCAGAAGAAGTGAATATCTCTCCTACCCCACAAGAGGAGAAACCTTACTATCCAATTGTTAATGGTCATTACAAAATAGCCAGAGACCGCAAAAAAGATCCTTACTACAGAGCTAGAATGCCCTTGTAAAAGAGTTTTTGCATGGTTTCTACCATTCATGAATCCAGTAAGATACTCAACCCTGGGGAAGTGTTCAACAATCACACAGGAGTCAGATGCACAATTGTTGGTAAACAAAAGACAGTTCCTGAGACTAGTCCACTGTATGGATCAAATGATGAACAAGTTGTAAGTGTAGGGAGCGAATAAAGCTTGCATCTGGTGCCAGAAGAAACTCTGAAGTATGTGCAAAAAAGTAGCTTGTAGAGTGTTGCTCACCACAACACTGACGGCTGCTGTTTGCCACCCATGCAAGTTTGTTCAGTTCCCCAAAAAAAATTGTAAAATTTATTTAAAATTACAAATAAAAAGTAAACATTGACAGTTTACCTTTTTGTCTCTTATTAAAAAAAAATAGCCTTATAATTCAAATAATTTGATTTTAAAGAAACAAAGCTAGCATTAAAAATAAGTTTTTAACACAAACATTTAATTCTTTGGTTAACTTTGAAGTAAAAAGTATTAAGCAACTTTACAAGAATATCTATGATAATAAAATTTAAAATATAAACCAAACTAGAAATTAAGAATGAATAAAAAGAACAAAGGCCACATGACTGGGGATATTATAATTTATTATTTCCAAATAAAACATTGTAGGAATTGATACAAAAGTTTGAACCACAAGAGAGCAGCAAATAACACATAAAACAGCCATGAGTTATAAATATATCAAACAGTTAACACATAACAGCATTTAAAGAAATTTACAGTTTAGTCAGTTTACCATTTCAATAAATGTTTTGGATATGGGGTAACTGAAGACTGATTATTCAAAGGATCCTTTAAGGACTAAAGACACCACATGTTTTTTTGTAATGTAAAAAAAAAAAACTTGTTCATTTTCATTGTTCATATTCTGAAAATGTTTATAAAATGTAGCAGAATGATTTGTATTTTCACACTAGTGAGATATTACCCAGCACACATGATAAAACTGTTACAAGTTACACAAAACATGACTACAAGATGAATGTAAATGATTAAACATGGAGACCACCATTTATATAATCAAGACCTACAAAGTTGACAACATGTATACATTGTTACTGTCACAGATACTGAAGAACTAATCTACAAGCTTATTAAGCTCTATATTGCTAAAATAAGACAAGTTAAATCACAATTTTCTTCACGTCCTTGGATAAATATTTAAGTACATTTCACATCCTTAGTTGTAGTGGATTTAGATACACTTTATTTTTCTCATAGTGAAGAGCACTGTAGTATTTTATTTGCACAAATAAAAATGTAAACATTTCTCTAATTGAAATATATTTACAAAAAGAATTCTTTAAAATTGTGCACATTCAGAGAATTAAATGTTTCTATTTGAAAGTATGAAGTAGCAATTTGAAGATGTAATAGTATATTCATACACTCATCTAGTTTTATGCTTCACAACTGATCTCAGTCAAACCCAAGTAAAACCATAATCTCTCACACATATCACATATGGCGTTATAAAGCCAGATTTAAATATTTTAAAATAACATCTTAACTGTTGATATGCATAGCACTCACCTTACATAACACAACAATATCAAATTTACTTTTTCTCTCATCAGAATCAATTTACACATTAAAATGTAAATGTAAGTTCAAAGTTTTATAAAAAAAAAAAAAAATAAAGTGTTATTTTAAAAGTTAAATAAATGCATATTTAAAAAAAATTAAAAACAATTTAAAAAAAATCAGTTTGTTTGAAATCACACCAAACTTTGGTATACGACATCTAATGCCCTTTCAAAATGCTTTAGTTTTATTGAGGTTTAGTTATCTACATTTTGTTTAACTTGATAACATTTGTGGTATTATAATTATATTTAGTTCCACCCTTTAGAATATCACACCCAATTTTTTGAATAAAATAAACATTCAGGTTTTAGAGAGTAACATTTTTGTTGATATAATGTTTTTAACAAACACCCAGTAAATCTGTAACAGTCACCACTGAAGAGATAGATAGTGAGACCTTTCTAGAGTAAAGCCTGCCAGGTAGAAATACATTTTTAGGATAAAAAAGTTACAAAAAATTGATGGCACCACTGAAGCCAGATAACAGTGTAAAAAAAGTGTGTTATTTCCCCTTTGAACAACTTTAATCTTTACAGATAGCACAAATCTAAAAAAAATGGAATACTTTTCACCAGCTATAACACTTTCATTCCACTTAAAATACAAAACCATTCTAATGTACACATAATTAATAAACTGCTTTCTGGTTTGAAATATCCAGTTTTTATAAATAAAATCGTCTTCACATAATAAAATCATACAAACAAAACCAATCGAAAATAAATAATCTATTGCACATAAGGTAAAATGTATTTACTCATAAAATGATATTAATTTACTTAACGAGTTTTCCACACTAAAATACAATATCTTTAGATCTACAGTTCATAACACGTTAAAATATTAAAACTTAAAAAAACAAAAACAAAGCAAGAAGTGATTTATAAGCTACTGCTGTTAATAATGCTCTAATTAAAACAACTGAAAAGCTACTGCTAATGTTACTTGTTAGTTAATAAATTACAGGCCATATAAACAAGCAATACAAATTCTTTCATGCCATGAACATAAATAAAACCTAGACTGGAATAATAATGAAAGATGCTGGTGAATTTAATTTACTTACCATCTCATGTCAAATTTAAGTCAATGAATCAAATAATTTAGTAAGACTAAATAAATATGACTTAAAAGTTTTAAAATTTCTGATACAGTAAAATAAAATTTAAATTATCCCCTTGCAAAAAACAATTTCAGTTAATTTAGTTACCAGCTTTCATTTTTTAATATAAATGATAAATGAAGGTAGAGTATTTCAATTGCTTAGAGTGTACTAGAAATATAAAAGCAAAATTTATAATATTAAAAGTGACTGTTAGATGAATCAATATAAACTCACCCAGAAGCCCATATGAGTAAAAACCATAATATTTATGTAATCCCTTACAATCCCTTTCAACAAATAGAATTTTTAAAATACAATTTTTTCCTATAGTATATTATTATCATTCGTAACAAGATCTAAAGTTCAAAGATGATATAATACCAGTAAAATTGAATTTGAAAAATTCTTTGACATGCAAATTTGCATGCAAAAATACTCTATTAATCACACTTTTTTCATTAAAAAAACTAAACAGTCAATTTTGAGCTAACTCAGGTGGGGTTCAATAAGAATTACAATACATGTTGACAGGTTTCATTCTAAATATTTCTCAAAAGGTTTCTAAGGAATTATCTTGTATCATGCTTATATGTTTTACTTTTGGGCAGTAAAAATTGAACAAAGTTGTATAATCAAAATGTGGCTCTTATTTTCTGTGCACACTTATGGTGACCACCGGCCGATTCTGTCCGTCTGTGATGGTGACTGATGATTCTTTTGTGACGACAACTTTTCTGACATCTTGACTCTGTGTGACTGAATAGACTTTCCTCTGTACTGGTTTAAGTGGGGCTTCTATTGTTAACTGTTTATCATCCGCAATATAAGCTTGTATTGTGGATGGGTCTACTGACTCTGTTGAATCAATTAAGTCAAAAGTTAAAAACAAGAATATTCCTACACCAATTTAAATAGTTCCCAGGCTATTATTTCATACATCTATCAAGCATCTTACATTAAGATAAAAATATTAACAAAATAACTCTGCAAGAATAAAATAATGAAATATCAAATAATATAGATACATTTTTTTATATAAAAAGTATTTTACCCAAATGGATACAAAAACAAATTTAAAAAATCCTGATTGTCTGACAAGTTTTGAAAAAAATCCAGATGTCTACCTATAGTAGAAAAAAATTCCTGAACGTCTAACTTACCAGGTAGATCATATTCCTTGTTGAACTCTTTATGCAATGTTCTTCCAGATGTTTTCTCCTCATGCTCAGCGTGAACAATCAACTTCCTGTCCATTGTTTTGACTACCACATCTTCTGGTTTGAATTCACCAATATCCACCTGGAGCAAAGTTTAAATTTTGGGTGGTAAAAACTGAAGTTTAATCTTAGCATGAGTTGCTAGTGATGGATTTAGTGATGTTAAATTACAGAAGCTTTAAAAGAATACAAATTAAAGAGATGCACTTTTTACTCTGGATAGTTGATAGAATTACAATACAAATAATTAGTCTTAACTAATGAACAACTTCAACATACATTAACATTATTTATTTTGTATGTTGCTGCATTAAAATAATAGTGTTAATGAAGAAGCATATGCCAACTTTCAGATGTTATCTAATAACATCAAATATAAATTATTGTAAAGACTGCATCAAGTACAATTTTTTGCTCAAAAGATAAAATCCTAAAGACTTCATTTTATCACTCCTCCCTACATGTATTGTACAAAAAAAAATTACCAATTTGGAAAAATTAGCATGCCAAATACAAAAACAGAACTTCAAAGCTAATTTGAGTAATAAATGAAGTAAAGCAATTTATTAATACAGTAACCACACCTTTACCTGTAATTATAATTTGCTATAGTTAATTTACCTGTAATCGAAGTTTCCTGCTCCCATCTGCTTCAGTGATAATTGGGTTCTTGACAGGTGTTGCCACATCTAAAGATTTGAGTGGGGAGGAGCTCTTAATAGGGAATATGCTATCACTGCTCATTAGTGAGGGCTGACTGAGGGGGGCGTCTACACTAAGGATTCCATCTTTGCTGAGAACACACTGCATCTTCTCCTGGTCCACAGAGCTTGGAATGTCTACCTGGCAATAAATACTTTATTCTTCAGCACATAAAACAAGTCAAGCTTCCAATCATTAAACATACCCTTCCTGAATGTTCAGTCTGCCTAGTCGTATAGAGCTAGACTGCTAACCAAAAAGTCTCGAGTTTAAATTGGTTCTGGTCATTGGAATGTCCCAGAATCCACCAGCTCTGATGGGTACATAACTCACATTAGGTGTCTGACCACATTATCCATTGCCGAGGTCAAGAAACATGAACCCTACTACATCTGCCAAATGCAGGAATCTTACTTTTAAAAAAATAACATTCAGTAATCAGATATGTTAATCCAGAACTTTTATTGATTATTACACTATTTATTCTACAACATTTAGGTCATGTGATTTGATCAGTTATTCTACAACATTACTTTTTTTTTTTTACTTAGTCCTCTTTGCTCCTTATGGAGCATAGGGCCTCCACCATTTCCTTCCATTTCTTCCTATCTACAACATTAGGGTCCAGTGATTTGATCTTTTATTATACAACATTTAGATTCAGATATTAAAACTGTTATATTAAAACACTTTGGACCTGTTATTCTAGAACATTCAGATTCAATTATTCTAGAAGATTCAAGTCCTATAATTAGACCTGTTATTACTTGTGTACTGTCTAGACCCAGTTGATGATAAAACACAACTTACTTGTCTACTGTCTAGACCCAGTTGATGATAAAACACAACTTACTTGTCTACTGTCTAGACCCAGTTGATGATAAAACACAACTTACTTGTCTACTGTCTAGACCCAGTTGATGACAAAACACAACTTACTTGTCTACTGTCTAGACCCAGTTGATGATAAAACACAACTTACTTGTCTACTGTCTAGGCACAGTTGAAGATAAAACACAACTTACTTGTCTACTGTCTAGGCACAGTTGATGATAACACACAACTTACTTGTCTACTGTCTAGACCCAGTTGATGATAAAACACAACTTACTTGTCTACTGTCTAGACCCAGTTGATGATAACACACAACTTACTTGTCTACTGTCTAGACCCAGTTGATGATAAAACACAACTTACTTGTCTACTGTCTAGACCCAGTTGATGATAAAACACAACTTACTTGTCTACTGTCTAGGCACAGTTGATGATAACACACAACTTACTTGTCTACTGTCTAGACCCAGTTGATGATAAAACACAACTTACTTGTCTACTGTCTAGACCCAGTTGATGATAAAACACAACTTACTTGTCTACTGTCTAGACCCAGTTGATGATAAAACACAACTTACTTGTCTACTGTCTAGACCCAGTTGATGATAAAACACAACTTACTTGTCTACTGTCTAGGCACAGTTGATGATAAAACACAACTTACTTGTCTACTGTCTAGACCCAGTTGATGATAACACACAACTTACTTGTCTACTGTCTAGACCCAGTTGATGATAAAACACAACTTACTTGTCTACTGTCTAGACCCAGTTGATGATAAAACACAACTTACTTGTCTACTGTCTAGACCCAGTTGATGATAAAACACAACTTACTTGTCTACTGTCTAGACCCAGTTGATGATAAAACACAACTTACTTGTCTACTGTCTAGACCCAGTTGATGATAAAACACAACTTACTTGTCTACTGTCTAGGCACAGTTGATGATAAAACACAACTTACTTGTCTACTGTCTAGGCACAGTTGATGATAAAACACAACTTACTTGTCTACTGTCTAGGCACAGTTGATGATAAAACACAACTTACTTGTCTACTGTCTAGACCCAGTTGATGATAAAACACAACTTACTTGTCTACTGTCTAGACCCAGTTGATGATAAAACACAACTTACTTGTCTACTGTCTAGACCCAGTTGATGATAAAACACAACTTACTTGTCTACTGTCTAGGCACAGTTGATGATAAAACACAACTTACTTGTCTACTGTCTAGGCACAGTTGATGATAAAACACAACTTACTTGTCTACTGTCTAGGCACAGTTGATGATAAAACACAACTTACTTGTCTACTGTCTAGACCCAGTTGATGATAAAACACAACTTACTTGTCTACTGTCTAGACCCAGTTGATGATAAAACACAACTTACTTGTCTACTGTCTAGACCCAGTTGATGATAAAACACAACTTACTTGTCTACTGTCTAGGCACAGTTGATGATAAAACACAACTTACTTGTCTACTGTCTAGACCCAGTTGATGATAAAACACAACTTACTTGTCTACTGTCTAGGCACAGTTGATGATAAAACACAACTTACTTGTCTACTGTCTAGACCCAGTTGATGATAACACACAACTTACTTGTCTACTGTCTAGACCCAGTTGATGATAAAACACAACTTACTTGTCTACTGTCTAGACCCAGTTGATGATAAAACACAACTTACTTGTCTACTGTCTAGACCCAGTTGATGATAAAACACAACTTACTTGTCTACTGTCTAGACCCAGTTGATGATAAAACACAACTTACTTGTCTACTGTCTAGACCCAGTTGATGATAAAACACAACTTACTTGTCTACTGTCTAGGCACAGTTGATGATAAAACACAACTTACTTGTCTACTGTCTAGGCACAGTTGATGATAAAACACAACTTACTTGTCTACTGTCTAGGCACAGTTGATGATAAAACACAACTTACTTGTCTACTGTCTAGACCCAGTTGATGATAAAACACAACTTACTTGTCTACTGTCTAGACCCAGTTGATGATAAAACACAACTTACTTGTCTACTGTCTAGACCCAGTTGATGATAAAACACAACTTACTTGTCTACTGTCTAGGCACAGTTGATGATAAAACACAACTTACTTGTCTACTGTCTAGGCACAGTTGATGATAAAACACAACTTACTTGTCTACTGTCTAGGCACAGTTGATGATAAAACACAACTTACTTGTCTACTGTCTAGACCCAGTTGATGATAAAACACAACTTACTTGTCTACTGTCTAGACCCAGTTGATGATAAAACACAACTTACTTGTCTACTGTCTAGACCCAGTTGATGATAAAACACAACTTACTTGTCTACTGTCTAGGCACAGTTGATGATAAAACACAACTTACTTGTCTACTGTATTCCCGTGTTACCGTTGTTTGGGATGATTTTTCCTCATGTTTTGCATTGACAATAAGTTTATTTTCTTGAACTTTGACCTGAAAAATGCAAAAATTATGGTTTATTAAATGATTACACATATTGTAAAAAATACGAGTCTTGTCTGTTTGATAATAGGTACAGCCCTACCTTTATGGTAAAAATAGTGTTAGCTATTTTCTTGAAGTAAGAATTAGGAAGGTGAAAGTGTGTACTTGAGAAGGGAAGCTTTAGTGAAAATATTTGACTACTTGAGTACTTATGATGGATACAAGATTGACATGGGCAAAGAATAGATAATCTAATTAGTGATCTTGATTATTTTTCCCTAGCTTGTTTGTGTCTTTTTAATTAGTTTTGTTTGTTTATTTTCTTTCAATAATTAAACTAGCATCAACACATATTTAATTTAATTCTAGTTGGCACCAGTCCACCTCTGCCAAGAATTAACATGCCTTCCCTCAATCACCTTCATGTTCTGTTTTTAATTAAAATATGTATTGCGTTTGTATGAAGGTAAGGTAATCCTTAATTTTAATGTTTACTCATGTAATAGCTCAGAATTCAACAAAAATTTGTCAATTAGCCAAAACCACAAACTTGTTAGTGGTATGGCTTTATTATTATATGGCAAACTATCTAATAAGAATACATACACTCTGAACTTAACACACTAACCCTCTTGGGTTAAGTATGAAATACAGATATAGCTTAGCAAAATGAACGACTGAAGTAGAAAAATGATAAAAAAACCTAGGTAAAGAACTAAAACTTGATTGATGCCACAGGTGAGATAAGACTCAACTCACCTGAATTTCCTCAGGCTGAAACTCCGTGACATCAAACCGAACTTTAAACCGCTGAATGCCGTCTGCATCTGTTTCAAACAAACTTTTCATACCCGTATCTAAGTTCATAGATGTTAGACCCTGTGGGCTTTTGCCTGTGGGTTTCAGGGTGAAGAATTCCTCTCGCATGCGGTCGAACTCTTCCTCCCAAAGTCTTCTCCTTTCCTATCAATGCATGCAGAGTTTTTAATTAGTATAACAAATGTACCATAAATTCAACAACTTAAAAAATGAAAAGATATTGACAAAATAAAGGTATTAGCATCTGTTATTAGAGAGCAATACATCTGTTAAAAGTTAACTGTATAACCTATATAATGACACTATAATATGATCATTAACTTTAGTTTGAAAAATATCATGGATTAATTCCCTTGATAAATTAAAAAGCCTATTTATTCCTAGAATCTAATTATAAACAAGATCTTGATCTAGATTTATTTCATTTCATTGTTCCATACATATGTTTACTACCTAAAAGTAGAGCATGTTATTTAAATTCTAAATCTACAGTAAATTGAGAAGAAAAAATGTACATCAGTTAGATCAAACAAAATTCTAAATTATTTTTAAGATAATTAGACCTATCTGCCTATCTAGTGTAGATCTAGATTTTTTAATACAGATTTAATCAAGATCTAGCCATTTTGAAAATTAAAGTAAGTTTGATGCCATTACATTTCCAAAATTAATGGACACCAGCGAGAAAAGTCTCAAAGGTATTTGAGAGGTGTATAAATTCATTTAAAAATCATGCACAGCGTAGTTACAATTAATATGGTTATAAAATCCTGTCTATCTGTTTTTTTCGGACTTTACTAAAGATTGGATGTATTTGATGTTTATAATATTTTCGGTAACTAAATAAAAATTTAAAAAAAAGCAAAAACAATTTGGTTTTCACGTGTAATGGCGACATAAACAATGGCATCCTGCTATTGGATAGGCCGCCATTGATTTTATTGTACACATTGTAAGCTAAAAATAGAAAACTAGGTCATGGGGTTTTAAATTTGCATTGTAATTTAAAAACTTGATCTGCAAAGTTTTGTAAACAAATAGTTATCGATCACTAAGTTACTGTACAGCCAATCAATATTTGTCTTACGAAAGTGAAACATCCGGTTATAACTTAGGCTTGATGAAAATAAATAGAAATGTAGCCTTAAACTCAACAAATTATTTTCAAGTTCTCTGGATTTGCAACTTTTATAACATTTATTCTAAAAATATAAAATTTCTAAATTAACTTTAGGCTTAAGTTTTTATTTTTTATTTTTTTTTACGGTCTAAATCTAAAAAGCACGTTTTTATTCCATGTCAACAACATTGGGGACGGAATCTCGTCAACTCGCTCGCCTCCATTATCAGGCCCTATACTATATATAGTAAACACCAGTGACTTTGGCAGGATTTTTTCATAAGATGTAAAATGTGGCTTTATAAATTTTGAAATTCAATAAAATTATCAAAAGTGTAGATTAGGCTACCATCAATAAACATGCAAAAGGCCATGAAAAAGGGCAAGGCAACACAAGCATTATTTCGGTGTCCGTGGTAGGTGAGGTGGTTCTATCATTGGTCTATTAATGATTAATTTAGATCTATAGTCACATATCACCCTCTGCCCTACACCGCTGACGTGTCCATTACACGCAGCCAGCACTGGCAGTTTACCAACACTCCACCCCTTTCCTAACAAAACGTTAAGCGCCCGGCGCCCCCATTATGGATTTTTGGATTACGTGAATTCAATGATTTATATTATAACATTGCAAACAACAAGTGAGTTTAGTCTCAGTTTAGATCTAGATCTAGATCTAGTTTTAGTTTGTTCGAGAATGGCAAAAAGAACTGACATACCTGCATTCTGTTTTCCATGTCTCCCCACTGTTTGATTTGCCTCTCTTGGAAACTCATGTCATCTTTCTTGATAGGAACATGGATCTCGGAGATGTACGTTCGCTGCGCCATTTTTTTTTTATGCGTGACGTGCGATTTCCAGCAGCTGTCTTTTTTTTTTTTCAGCGTCTGCTAGTCTAATGTTTCAGATGTTGCTGACTGTTCACAGTAAAATAATAATCCGACCTTGAATCTAGGAAGTCTGAAAATTCTTGATTTTATCCAGACGGAATCTTCTGTAAAAAAAAAATAGGAACTTTTTGAGTTTACTGTAACGAAAGCAAACAAAACACATAGACTCTAGATCTAGAATCTACAGCTTTAGATCTAGATCTAGATCTAGGCCCTAAGACAATAAACAAGTTTTGTTAGTTATAGCCTCAAGTTACAGTATATTCTTCAATCCAAAACATTGTACATCTATTCTATTGAGATTTTTTCAAATATAGATCTAGACCTAAAAGTAATTTTAGAAAATACAATTCATGACAACATCAAGATCCACTTGTATTGCCCGAGGCCGAGGCGTAGCGAGGGGTGGGGGTGGGGGGTGGGGGATGCGGACCGCACCGGGTGACACCATTTGGGGGGAGGGGGTGACACCAAGGCAAAAAATTCCACTTAATTAAGTAATTAATTCGAGTGTTAAATAGTCTTTAAAGAGGTGCAAATCGAAAGTTTGAGGGGTGGGGGGGGGGGGGGGGGGGTGCAAATCGAAAATTGAAAGTTTGTCCCCGGGAAGGGTCGCTACGCCTCTTTGGGGGTGACACCATTAAGTGCCGCACCGGGTGACACCCGACCTCGCTACGCCACTGTGTATTGCAGATCTTAAACTCATCTTTGATAATTTAAACTGAAAACAAAATATAAATAAAAGTAGTTTTATCTATAATTTAACAGTACGGTTCTGTACGTCACTTTGCTGATCTGTCAATTTTAAAAATCTCTACATTTAATTCAATCCTAACTTCTACCAATTGAATTCAAGTTTAAGGATTATCCCGATTTTCGCTCTTATGTAGACCTACTGTTTGTAGAAAAGCAGTGTGCCTATAGCAGTTACCGGTAAACAGTGTTTCTTCCAGACTTTTTTTCTCCGGGGGGGGGGGGAACTTGAAATTTTCGGGGGGGGGGGGGTGGCGGTAGACTTTCTTCGGGGGGACGGACACTGTTAGAAGTATATATATTCTATATAATTTTCATTTCGTTCGGGGGGTGGGGGGGGGGGGGGATTTGGTGTCACACCTCTCCCCCCCCCCCCCCAAGAGATGCCTAGAAGAAACTCTGCCGGTAAAAATATGGCTTAAAAGTTACAACATGCAGTGATTTCGCTAAAACTAAGATGACACGGCCTCATTCAAACAATTTCCCCTTGGTCAGAGTCTAATCAAACAACTCGTAAGCGAACTCTTTTTATCCCTGGACAGCTGAGGACATAACGAAAAATGTTTCAAATTCTCTGTTCACACACACACACACACACACACACACACACACGCACGCACACACATACACATATCACACAGAGATAGACACACACGCAAAAACAAATAGTCACTCGAAAAATAGACTAAAAAAACACCAACACAAAACAAACCTGGAGTGATTAACAGATTCACGAATTCACTATCATACAAAAACAAGTACACCGAAATGCAGACACACATAGCCTATACACAAAGCACATAGACAACATACAGAGGCGTATCCAGGTTTTCGTTGTAGGGGGAGCGAAAAGAGCAAAAAAAGGCGCCGAATTTTTAACACGTTCTATATACGTGTATTCGTGTATTATATATATATATATATATATATATATATATATATATATATATATATATATATATATATATATATATATATATATAATTACTAGCTGTATGTCATTACTTCGCTATGATGTAAAGCTATGATGTAAAATAAATTGAAAGTAGCACTCTGAAGAAATAAGAAAAAACACACAATGTAGGCCGACAAAACAAAAACTGTATCAATCTAAACTAAATATATATATATATATATATATATATACACACTACAACCAAAAACAATGAATGTAACACAATCTGTTTTGTAATTCTTGAAAAAAAAGTTTCTTACATAATAATTCCTGGGAAATTATTTAAGACAAGTGAAATAGGGGAAATAATAAATCTCTTAATATAAATATGTATGTATCTACACATTTAATTATAGATGTCAAAACAAATAAATAATTACTCTAGAATATAATGAAATTGTCTAACACTATTCGTGTATACAAAATGTTTTTGTCTGTAATCAGAATTTAATATATCATCATCATAAATGCTAAAGTATTACAGCATAATGAAAATTTTTAAAAATCAGAGTTGGTATAAAACCACACTGTTCGCTCTAATAGAAAAACATTCGGAATAACAGCCTACATTTAACTAAATATTGGTCTATTGGTTCAGATCATTTATTTTAATTAACTACTGCTTTTTTGTGTTCTTTAAAGATTATTTTTTAACATCGTGATTGGTATGGGTTAGATCACTGTATTGATCACACACCTTTTTACTGGTAATTGCAAAAACAATATTCACAGAGTTTTACGTTTAAAAAGCTAATTTTCTGGCAGCATGGTACTTCATTACGCGTTTTTCAACATGTACTTAACAAATCAGTTCGGGGTGGGTTGGGGGGAGGGGTGGGTTCAACTTCATTCACCACTGTCCGTTCACTTTAGGTCAATTATCCAACCCAGTGTATACCTAGGTGTGACATTAATGTCACTCTACACAATTGTGGTGGTGAGGTGTGTGTGTGTGTGGAGGGGGGAGGGGCAGAGGCGTAGCGACCCTTCCCGGCGCCCGGGGACAAACTTTCAATTTGGCGCCCCCTCGGGAGCAAATTTTCGATTTGCACCCCCCTCAAACTTTCGATTTGCGCCCCCCCCCCCCCTCAAACTGCAAAAATGCAGCTAAATTGACATTTTAATTCGTTTTTACAACCCATTTTGGCACCCCCTAAGGTCGGCGCCCGGGGACAAATGTGCAAATGTACCCAAATGGACAAATGTACCCCTGCCCCCTCCCCCATCGCTACGCCTCTGGGGGGGGGGAATAACCAACTCAGAGTGAACATAGCGTCAGTTATTAGATGACTGTTCTAAACATACATACATACATATATATATATATATATATATATATATATATATATATATATATATATATATATATATAACACAAATATATATTACACAAATATATATTACAGAAATCGATTTAAATAAGTAGCAGTGGTATTATGACAATATTTTTTTTTACAGATGGGTCCATGGGGGAGGGGGTTGTAACTGTTTCATATAATTTGTAATCGTAATCACTATCGCCCAAACTGTAAGAATACTACTACTTCATCGTGATGACGTTGTTGACCTTGTCAAAATGTCCCCACCACTACGCAGTTTGCTCATAAGTAAATTTAATTAGAGTTGCCACATCCGTTTTATTTGTTTCTGTATTGTAATTTTAAAAAAATTAAGCACACGATTCAAACTGTATATATAAAGTAATTATGTGTGAAGTTTTATGTATAACATTTTCTAATTCAATTATTCGTAAGCAAATACATTATACAGTTGCCCTAAACTTAACACCATCTTGCCAAGTGGTACTACCGTAGAGGTTTTTTAAACATTGCAATGCATCGTAATGGTTATTTTTAGAATGGCAAACTGATGCAGCTGTTAATGCGTGTTGTAAACGTAGACACTACTAGACTAGTACAATAATGCTTAATTGCTGCATGAAAAGAAATCTTGTGATTTACATAGATGTGCCGACCAAAAATTTTTTTTTAACAAATATCATTGTTTAAAACTTGGAGTTTAAAAAGTTTCCAAAAAGGCGCCACTTTGATGAAAATGGCCAGAGGGGGAGCGGCCGCTCCCCCTGCTCCCCCCCTGCGTACGCTACTGACAACATACACCCAAACTCACAGAAACACGCCTACTAAATCACGCCTACACCTAACATATTTACCTCAAAATTCTTATCAACTTTATCAACACCTTTTCCACCTCCTACGATAAAGAACTGACCATAAAAATTCTACCACGTACACGCTAGCACCTCTCTTCCCACTATAAAAACTCACACCACATAGAGGACTAAGCATCAGCTCACCAACGCAAATCCACGAATGCACGTGCGAAATAAACACGATGGCCTTCAAAAATGTTTGTTAATTTACAAACTACGTCACCAACAATCTGTTTGAAAAATAGTTTTTAAGCTCTGCTGATTCAGGTTGGATCCATCTTGTTAACAATGGCAAGAGATGCATGTATTAAAACGTTGATTTGGGCAACTTTAGGTATTGTGTACATTAATGTGTTGGGAAACTTTAGGTAAATGTGGTGACCACTTTATGGGTCGGGTGGTAACCACTTTATTGACAGCAAGTGTAACATTGCTAGACATTTGAATGTATTACAAAGACTAATCTATACAAGAATTAAACAGGTCTAAGATAAAGAACAGCACAAAGCTATGTTTACAAACAAATGAATGAGCGCTCATCATACACATCGCCACTTAGCACACAGCCCGCATCAACACATATCCTACTTAATACAAAAGGTTTATACGGCTGAGAATTTGAGCATTAGAGAAGATAAACCTCCCGCACCCCCCCTCCCCACGTGCACAGCTAGCTCTACCTGGTTTGATAGAAGCTGTATACTGGTGAGAGGTAGATCCAGCTTTTGACGGAACTTATCCACTTGGATCTAGTTCCTGACAGAATTTATCATCGGTCTTTTTACCTGCGCTACGGTGGATTTAAGACACCTGGAGTCTAACTACCCATCTAAGAACCCATCTAACTAGCCATCTAACTAGCCATCTAACTAGCCATCTAGGTACCCGTCTACCAACTCAACTAACTACCCATCTAACTACCCATCTAACTACCCATCTAACTACCCAACTAGGTACCCGTCTACCAACTAATCTAGCTACCCAATTAACTACCCCTTTAACTACCCATCTATCTACCCATCTAACAACTCATTTTACTACCCATATTTATACCCATCCATCTACCCATCTAACTACCTATGTAACTACCCAGCTAGGTACCCACCTAACTACCCATCTCACTGTCTATCAAACGACTCATCTTAAAAAAAAGTAAAGCTCCTTTTTAACCCTAACGATCCATGGGGCAGACGAAGTAGAGTTCACGTTTCATGACAGCATAT